GGCTTTCATAGGGCCAGCAAAAGGCACCTCTTTAATCCATGGACTGTCCGTCTGCCAACTCCCAATGTCATGTGCAAGTAATGAAGGTGCAAGTGCTCTTCAAAAAATTATCTGAAGGATTATTATATTATAAAGTGTAAGGCTTCTTTACACTTTACAGGGTCACTGCCATTCACCCCCAGATAGAACCTATATCCTCCTAGCATCACATCCTCCACAGAGATGAATAAGCAACATATTGTTAAATTTTGGTGTGTCTCAGTGACAGAAGATGTTCTTCCGCTTAACAGTTAGTTGATGATTCTCAGAGCAATCAGTGCTGCTGCTCACTTCTCTTTCCTGACGATTTTTGCAAGCAGTCCTGCAACCAGCCAACCTCCGTTTTCCATTTGAATTGCATCATGAATTTTGCATTGAGTCTGACATTTCAGCCAGGAAGCCTGATGTAAGGAAGGCAAACCTAGCACACACTGATAAAATGGCAGAAATTAACCAGAGGAGCAACATGCCCTAGGCACAGTCACTGAACAGGACTGAAATGCCGACAGCACAGCCAGATAATGTTTTCCAGAAGCAAACTCCTGGGTAAGTAAAGAAAAACTTAGCAAGAAAACTTTTTAAAAAGGCCACAGGTAAAACACAATTGGTTTAAGAAAACTATCTTGTCTGTTTCAAAGTTTTGCGAAATTTCACCTACTGGGCCTGACTTTCCCTGCAGTACCAGGGTGTGATCTGTACTTGACTTCATCGGAGTCCATCTGGATTTACGCCAGTGTAAATGAATCCATCAATAAATCACTATAAATATGAAGCCAGGGCTGTAGATTTAGTTTTCTATCTTTCAAGAGTTACCCTATGGTATCTTTGATGAAGTGCTAACAGATGAGTAACCAAAGCTAGCAAGTCACTTCCTCACTTTTCTTGAGATACTTCTAATTATAAATTTTTAAAATTTACTTATTTAATTATTTTATATATAATTTCTAAGAGAAGAGATTTCCTAAAAGGACTTTTCACTCATGAAGAGCATGAGATCAGTTGCTCATCAGCTGACACGTTGTAGGGTTGTCAGTAGATTAGGAATGCTCACCAGAAGTGACAATTACTCTTAAATAAATTCCAAAAGACGATATGTAAATACTCTAAACTTGGCAAATACCTAGGGAGGGGGACATTAAAATAATGAGCTAACAAAAGACATTTGGTCAGGCACAATCTTTTAACAGGAATGGACTTTAAAATTAGGGTTATTAGCACTGTTTCATTCCATCAGCAGTTAAAAAAGCTTCAGAAGGTGATGCAATTAATTTTTAAGTTTATATTACACATTAGAACACAAGAGGCCATTAACAAGGCAGTGATATTAAATTTAATGTACTTGGAAAATTGGACAGTGTGTCTCTCCCTACTGAGTATATTCCTAGGTGGCAGACAGGGGCAATAACGATAGAGGTATATCTCATCATGTCAAAGAGAAGTAATGGTCATTATTCTATGTTTGAGGGACAGGCACACATAACTTTGTAGGGAAGATATTAGTCATCCATAAACTGGGTGGACATATGGGAAATTGTTAAAATTCCCAGGCACCATAAAAAATAGAGGGTGGAGCAGTGGGCCGATTGCATCATTGGAGAACCATGCAAGGAGAGCAAAGTAAGAGATACAAAGACATCTCACTGAAATATTGCACTCTCCTCGGGTGTGCCTTCACTAATGAGAAAAAAGATGAGTTCTCACCTCCTGTTAACTAACACGAGGCAAAACCCTAATAATGACCAGGCAGTTTGTAGCTTTCACGTGGGTTAGCAGGTGGAGGTAAAGACTATGGGGGACCCTAGGTTTACTTCAGTCTGCCAACTCATGTTAAACTACAACTGCCTTGTCTTCACTTGGATTTTATGTTATGTTGGTGACCGTATGTTAACAAATATGAGGTAAGAACACAGCTTTTTTTCATGGTGAAGACAAGGCCCTAATCGCGTAATGAGACTTCAGGTCTGAAGCAGACAAGAACAAAAGATATGTGGTTGTGAGCGGGCTTGTTGGAATAGGGGGAGGATCAACAGGAAGCAGAAGGACTGAGGTAATCTCCTATAAGAAGACAAAAAGCAGAACATGGAGATGCAGAAGATCTCATGCTGAAATAATCCTGGTAGCTTTCTGACTGCTGCTACTTATTCTGGTGCCTGTGCTAGAAACCACCTCCCTTAAGCAAACCCCCTGCTTTAAATTCAGCACCCTAAAATGTTCTCTGTGCTCCCCAACGTTTGATCATTAAACCCCAACTCAACCAGTCAACACATTTTTCTTCCCTGGTCCCTTGTTTGAGTGACAGTGGCAGACAACTTTTGCTGCATTGAACAGGTAGGTTCATTGATCGGTTAGTTCAGCCCTGCATGGGATCAAGGGGAGGTGGGATGCAGGATCCGGTCAAATCGAACAGTTGAGACGTGAAATCACCCATCCTTGAGATGAAAGGCAACTTGGAAAGTCCTTTGGAATGCAGACCAGAAGGGTGGTCTCGTGTAGACCAATGGCTGTGAGCAGAGTATCGGAGGAAGTGTAGCAGGATTATGGAAAAGACAATATTTAATGAGATGCTATGACAGTGTAATAGTGAGAGATGTGGGGGAGAGAGGAAGAGATTGCTAAACACACAGCTATGCACGGAAAAGATAAAGGAGGATGTCTGAAAGTAGAGCATCAATATAATTCAGACCCTCCTGAGGGAATATATAGTTACACAAAGAGAAACTGGCTGGTAATGAGAGAGTGCGGGTCGTCCTCTAGGAAAGTGACAGAACACAACCTGCTGAATGTTGATCCGCATCCAGAGGCAGGTAGCAGGGATCACTGACTGTCGGTAGCAGGGATCTCAGTCTCAGGTCAGGTGCAGGGACAGAGATGGAAGGTGTCGGCCACGGAAGCAGAAAGGAGAAGGCTGTAAAGGTGTCATGGAAGGCCCCTGGATCAGGTGGGCAGCATGTCTCACATGTAGAGGGGATGGGCATGGCGAGTGCTGGAGGAGAGGGCTCATCTGTCTGTGGACAAGGTTTGGACAATCCAAACTCCCTGCACCCAGGGATTTAAATCCCTCCAGGACCAGCTCAGTCCTTCTTCCTTCCTCAAGTTGTTTCACTGAGTTCCATGCAATGTACCAAGGGCTAGATCCTGAACTCCTTAGACAGGTGGAAGTTACTGGGGCTATTGGTGGAGTAAGAGTGTTAGAATCTGGCCCTTTGTGTGGCTATTGCAGGAGGGACCTCAAAACCAGCATCCCTATCTGCTCTGTGTGGGCTTTCCAGATCCCATGGCACTTTTTCTAAGAGTTATACCTTGCCCTGCTGCGTCCCCATTCGCTCAGGGTTATGCAGGAAGCAAGGCATGAGTTAGCTGCTGTTCTCCATTCCAGATGTGGGTTTTTCCCCTGGAACTGAATGCATATGTGGCCATAATAATCTTCCTCTGCAGACTCTTTGCACAGAACTGCGGAGAACAATGGGGACTCCAGAATGTAGCCCCGGACTTGCCAATCATTTTGCGATCAGCCATTGCAGAGGGGACATGTTGGCCAACTGCTCTGCAAACATCTGTTGCACTAGTGCTTGCAAACCTGCAAGACAAGGTGAACTCTGTCAACCAAAGGGAAGGGCTGACTCCAGTGCCTAGAGTACCATAGAGACAAATGTAATCACACACAACTGGAGTGGCATGGGATCCAATGCCCTGAAGTTTCCCATGGGTGCTTTTCTCAAGGGGATGAAAAATCTCTCTTTGCCTCAGGCCACTTTGTAGTTCTCACACAGGTAGATGAAAGTGTTGAACTCAGGGATGGCCAGCCAAATTCTGCGCTTGCTCACACTCATGCAAATCCTGAGTGACTCCGCGGGTATCAACTGAGGTACTCCATATTCGCAAAGGAGTGGGAATGACAACGGAAGCTGGCCTTGAGATCCAGCAGTTATGTGCCCCCACTCTAGAAAGCTAACGGATGACATTGTGTTAAGGGGAGCAATGACAAGAACCTAACTTCTCAGCCCCAAATCTGCACCGCAGCAAATGAGAGTCAGATGAATATAGGAAGAGTATGAAGTGACTCCTACCTATAACTTTAAATTAAAAAAGCAATGTACTGTTTATTGGTTCTTCCAAGTGTCTCTGCAGCGGTAGGCTCATAAAGATCATATTATAGTACAAGCCATTATGCAAAGAGTTTACTATATATACATTTCTAAACGCTGCAGCAAACAGCAGCCTTCTTACAAGCAGAGAAGGATAACTGGTTCGTTTAAGGTAACAAATGATCCTTGATTTGATTTTAAATGCAATGACAGCAAAATTTATTTCTTATTTAATCACTTTCCTGAGCTGTTGAGGATGTGATGGTATTAAACTGCACAATGCAGTATATGACTACTGAATCAGTTGAAATAGGCATAAGAATATATTATGTTTATAGGGTAGAAAAAGATTGTACAGCAATGCATATAACTAAAATGGGTATTTTTGTCATTTATACAGTAGCTTATATCATTATTTCTTCCTGCTTCCAATTTTTCAGTAATAAAAATACAGGGGATGTGATTCTCTTTGCATTACAGACAAACCATCTTGATTCTTTATTAAATATTTTTATTAATCTGAAGTACCACAAAGCTTTTGAACAGATAAATCAGGCTCTGAATAGTCATTTCCTCTCTGCTATGGCTCTATAAAGTGGATTCATTTATGAGTGCGCAATACCAGGAAAGAAGGCTTCCATATTCATGACTATGCTCCCCTGTGTTCTTTTTTTATACCCCTGTGCACTGTACTAACGAGATAGTTGTTCCCCAAAATAATACAGGTCTTGGTAATCTGTTCCATAATCCCTTCCTGCTTTTGTGTCCAGTTTAATTAGGAATTACTGTATAGATATCATTGAAACAGTCCTTACTTTGAGAATGCAGTTGCTTTTTATAGGCTTCCATGGCTAGAAATATTGCTCTGTCTTTCAGTGCAGCAATCCCGAGTACTGATGGGATTGAAAAACCTTTGTCTTCTGACTGAGCATCAAAGACAGTCTAATCTACATAGCCTTGCGCTGCAAAGGAGCCTTGGTAATGCAGCGCCGTATCCTGCACTGATTTTCACACCCTCACTACTTCAGTGGGGCAAAGAGGTAAGTAAGTCAGCACTGAAATGGCCCTTCAGGGACGTGTTAATGCTGGAGTCATTCCAGTAGGGACTACAGCCCCATTCAGTTCCACCGTGGGCTGTGTTGTACTCAACTGTATATTTCATAAGCAGAAAGACAGCCAATAAAGGGTCCCTCATCATCTGGAAGGATGTTTTCTTCAGGCCGCCGGTCCCATCTCTATAGCCCGGCCCCATGGTGGGTAGCACTCAGGTATTTTATTAGAGATGATCCGAAGCGTTTGTGCAGGATTCCGAGACGTTGACACAGAGTGGGTGAGTAGGTGCAGTGTGTTTCCACAGAATCATGTGCAGCGGAGATGCGAAACATTCATGGGCTCAGCTAATCCATCCACCTAGGCAGTGCAGGATTGTTCCCACTGTTATTTTCTTTCCTGCTGTGTGCAGGTTGGACGGTGACTGCAGTAATTTGCAGATGGATTTATTTGCAGATAAATCACTTGTATCCTGCTGTAGGGGATACAGGGGAACCTTCCCAATGAATATTTTTTGAAAATATCTGCCTTGTAGTGCCATTTGGTAAATTCCAAAGGCACAGTGTTCAGAAACAGCGTCATAAAGGGGGTAAAAAATCTGTCTCCCTGGGAGGCATGGCTTAGCAGTATCCAGGGAGAGATATGAAGTCCATCTGAAGTAGGAAATTCACACCCCTTGCCAGCAGTCTCCTCAGTTTGAACACTAAGGGCTAAAACAAACTTCAGGTAAGGGTAACAGTGACTCTCAGAAAGGAATTTGCCTTTGAGCATAGCTTTAAATGACCCAAGCAATGGATCTTTCACCACTTTCATTGGTGTACAACTATTCAGCCCAATACCACTCAGCATTAGGACACTTCCTCTGATGCTCACCCTAAATTCTGCATGTGTCACTACTAATTTCCTGCTAAGGGCATTGGACGTAGTTTTGCTATCCGGGTCCCTTTAAGAACCATGCAGAAGGCAGTTAATCTTACGAACATTACTTAGCATAAAAGAGACTGTATTTTGGTGGAAGTTTTAGGCTCCATTGTCCTGATCTCATTTCCCTTTCACATTGCCCTCTGCCTTTGCTTGTTCTTACCAGCCACACCCATGTCATAGGTTCACCATATTTCCATGAGTTGTCTCCTAAATTACAAGGCTACCAAGGGAGGCGAGCTGGGCAAAATATTTTGGATGAATATTTTATTCACTGAAAAATGCTGTTGCAGGTCAATGAAAACTATTCGTGAATCTGGGTTGAATTTCACTGAAGAGTTTCCACTGAAAAAATTGGGAGAAAGTATTTAAAACATTTAAAAAAAATCTTGACTTTTCATTTTGAAATGAGATTTCATTTCAAAATTTAGCTAGATTTTCTTTTTAAGAAAAAAAAACAAAATAAAGGGTAAATAAACATCTGAAACGAATTAAAAAATAGTTTTGGGTCAAATGAAACATTTTGTTTGTCCCAAAATAATTTTTTTTTTGGATTGGCCACAGAATTGAAAAATCAGTGAAAATTTACTCAGTTCTATTCGGGAGTTCTTTCAATGAAAGTTTAACCGAGCAGCACTCAGCCTTTAACAGCTGATGAGTCATTAGTCATCAAAGAAAGCTGCAGAGAGCCACAAAATAATTAAACCTATTTAAAATACAGCCAGGTGTGTAAACAAGTTTATTCTATTTTAACAGTTAATGCCCAAATCAAATGGACTAAATGAGGGTTACAGTAGAAGCGGTGTTATTTAGGCTCCTTGGGAGACCTGGCATTTTGGAGTATGGCTCTGTTAATGTTTACACAAACCACTAATCTGTCTGGTTTCTTTTCACTTGCTGTTTTTCCCCTGAGGCAGCTGCCATATTGACATCCATGTCAGAAAGGCTCAGAACTTATTGGTTTTGCTTCATAACGGGTGCAAATGCTCCTTGCTGACTTGTGAAGGTTTCTGCTATCTCTGCACCAAGGGGATTTGAGTTCAACTTATAATTTTAATGCAGCAGCTGACTAACATGTGTTTGCTTTTCAGAAACAAGAATTGCAGAGTTCAGCTAAAGACAGCATTCCTCGGGGAACTCTCGACTGCAACTGATGTGGTGGCCATCCCCTCTTACCAAGTGTGATAAGCTCAGCCAGTCTAAGGTTTTGTCTTCACTGCCACTTTATTGGCAAAACTTTAGTAGTTCAGGGATGTTAAAAAACTACACGCCCCAAACGACAAAAGTTTTACCAACGAAAAGCGCCAGCGTGACGAGCGCTTTGTCGGCAGGAGCGCTCTCCTGCCGGCAAAGCCGCTGCCGCTCATGGAGGGTGGCATCTTTTTGTCGGCAGGAGAGTGCCTTTTAGTGGCATGGCTGTAGCTAAAAACCTTGCTGTGTAGCCATAAGCCTAAGATCCCAAAGCTGCACCCTGTTACTTGTATTGCATGGGGCCTTTTGCAATGAACCTGAAATTATGCAACATAATTTAGCGTAACACCCCCGGTCCTTGGTGGGTAGGATCAAACCTGGGACCTCTGGAGCTGAGTGCATGAGCCTCTACTGCATGAGCTAAAAGCCAGCTGAGTATTACCTAAGGCTGGAGAGCAGACTCCTCTCTCTCTCCCTCGCCCTCTCCCCCCACCCACCCAGTGGTCTCGGTGCCACTAGATGGGACGGAACACCACACCCACAAGGTGTATGGGTTACATTAGCACCTAGAACTTCATGCCTCTCCATATAGAAGAGTGCTGGAAAATATGCTTGTGTCGTGGATTTAGCCATATGACTCTATTTCTGTTCACTGCACCTTTACATTTCTACTGTCTGCAGAAAACCATTCGGTTTTCGTGCAGCACCTAGCGTAATGGGGTCCCAGTCCATGACTGGTGCTCCTAGGTGCTCCCACAATACAAATTAATAATAATAATATTGTGTTCAGATGCCACCGACTACAGAGGAGTCACACATGGTGCAGTCTCTTACAGAGAACTCCTGTTCACTCTTAATTTGCTTTTCTCTTAACATAAAATAAAGGGGAATATAGACAAGAAAGCATCTGGCTGGCAAAACATAACAGGCCAGCTCCACAGCTGATTTAAACTGGCATCTTTCCACTGATTTAGTTAGCATTTTGCTGATCTCACACCAGCTGCAGCTCAAAACCAGCATCTTCCAGTTTCAACTAACGGTGTGTAGAGGTGAAAAGGGCTTGAACTGACTTCTGCTGGTTCAAGTTTGGCGAGAAAGCCCAAAACTAGACATATTCTGCAGCCATATTCTGATAACACCCTTGAGAAGCACCTTACTCCAGGAAGGGTTCCATTGATTTCAGGCAGGAGGAAGGTACTAAGAGGCTACATATAGCACAAGATCAAGAACCATTGGTTGAAAATCACTGGGTTTGTTACAGAAAGGAAACAGTGCTATGCTATGGTGCATCTTCATGTGTGTTGTGGGAGAAGCATTCAGCATGGGGGAGATAACTGATAGCAAATAAATATACATTCTGCCACCATAAAATCACAGCTGTCCCCAGACATTAATTTTTCTCTGGTTTTAGTGCTGGTGTAAAGCTAAATTATGATGCTTGTCAGCATTAACACTAATGTTCATCTCCGTCCTCCCAATCAAAAGCACGTCAGCCAATGGTTCTGCTTTATTGGTTGGTGAGACCCAAGAGAATAGAACATAAGGAGGAGAGTTGGATCAACCCATATATTTTTAAAATCATGGGAGAAAAAAGGTTCTTAGCCATGTAATTGTAGAATGCTACTTTGTCTCTTATAGCCTGGTGTCTATTGGAAGCATTGGTACCTATATTTCTACTGGTAATGAATTCCCATCCATTGTACGGAAATAGGTATGTCCGCTGAAGCAATGTGAACATTGTTTATGCTGGCTGTTTTCCCAAAGCAACATTGTAACCATCCTTGAATACTCATAAGTGGATGAACTGAGCAGCATGATGTTTCTGTACATCAGAGGTAAGCATGGCCACCTCCAGCCTAGAGATACGTTTACAGTCCCTTTCATTCCAAGCTTTCAAAGCGCTTTGCAAACATCAATCAACGGGAGAGTCATCTCCCCACAGAAAGGCGGGTGAGCATCATTATCCCCATTTTACAGATGGGAAAACAGAGGCACAATGAAATTAAGGCTCAGATTTTTCAAATTTCCCTCTAACTCTGGTGCCTCAACTCTTGGGTGCCCAACTTTAGATACTGAGGTTCTGATTTGCACAGGCGCTGAGCAGCCACAGCTCCCACTGACTTCAGCTGGAGCTATAGGGGCTCATTCCCTGTTAGTATTTAGATGTGTTTGTTAGCCTGAGATAGAATTTTGGGTTTGATTTTTGATATATTTATATCCTTACTAATATGTGTGAACAAAGACCCAGGGAGTTGCTTCTGCCTAACCAGATGGGCTTTATAGCACAATGAGAAGAGATAAGGAAGTGAGTTAAAGTCTTGCTAGGTATGGTGGGAGTTTAATGTATAAGCATGCACCTGAAGACGGTCTCAACTCCTGTCTCAAGGCAAGGTCAAGCAACAAGTTGGGAGGTGCAAAGGGGGATGGAGGGGAGGCATAAGAAACCCCAAAAAGCCAGAGAAAAGATGACCCTGGCCGGCACATAACCTCACTCCTTACCCCTCCCATGAGGCACAAAAGAGGTGATGCTGAAGCCCCCAGGCTCACGACTCTCCGAAAGGGAACATGACCATAAATTATAAGGGGTGGGGCCGGGGGCGGGCACTACAGGTATGAATATGCCTGCTAAGAAAGAAGAGGGGGACAGGGAAAGCTCTGAGGCATGCAGAGCTATGGACATGCTTGCTTGATAACCCCGATAAATGTCACAGTACCTGCACTTCAGACTCTGGTTCTGCTTTCTGCCTGTGTGACAAGAACCAAGGGAGGGCGAGGGGAAAGCCCTAACATTGCCCCCCCCCTGAAAATCAGCCCCTAGTTTTCTACAATAAGTTACACTCCTGGGTTGTTGAAGTTGTGTGCACCGCACTCCAGTGGAGGGCAGGCTGTGCAACCCACTGGGTTTCCACCCATCGAATGGAGAAACTTTTGTCCACTCCTCTAAGGGTTCCATATGATTTCCACTGGCAGGTGTGGCTTTGAAGAGATGCTCAGCACATTCTTCCCCCCCTTCCCAGTCATTGCTGTTCCTGTCTGGTCCGTGCTGTACAAGGGAGGTGGCAGCTGCTTTCAGAGAGAGCCCTTCCTTCAGCCCTCTCTCGGTGGCTGTAGGGACTACTTGCTACTGCTGGGATAGACCCAAGAAAGAATTTAGCCCACTGTATGAAAGGCAACGGGAGATCTTTGGATGAAAGATGCTGCTCTTAAGGAAAATTGTTATGAGTGTAAAGTGCCCTCCATTCCTTTTTCAGGACAAAAAATGCAATTAAACATCTTTGGAAAGGACCAAAAGCATTTTCTACCTTTTCAAAATAACATTCAAGGAAATCGGCAGCTAGCGATTGTAATTGAGATGGATGAAAAGGCATCTGACTTCCCCCAAAGCATTTCAAGCAACGTACTTGAGAAGAATATGAAGTGCTGCTGCTCTCTAAAGATCGCCACACTGTGGCTCAATTATTAATGACTAGGAACAATTTCATATTTAATCTACAGACTATTAATTACACCGCAGAAGAGCAACACACCATCCTGAAAGCCCCTCTCACAAACTGAATAATTTAGTGATGCCCCATATTTTAATCTGATGTCAAGGAAGACAGTGACACATCCCCTTCTGTGAACAAACTGATGGCATTTTGGACGGAGATGAATGTCCCAAAGGTAAACGGGTTTGAGGATTTCAAAAGATTCTCAAGAGCTGGTGGTGCCCAGTTCCCAGGTGAGCTCTGGCTTCAAAACAGCTAATTTTTAACTGGTCTCTTGAAGTGGATCTCAAAGCTTTCATCAGGAGTCATAGATGGACTCTTGGGTTATCGAGTCATTTCCTCTTGGCCAGCACAGGAGAAGCTCTCCGATGGCAGAGATTGGAGCAGATTTGTTTATATCCGTGGTACTGGGTTAGTTTATGCCAGCGGGGAATTTAGCCAAGTCCGTTCCTGATGCTGTGTATGAGTCAAGTGATAGGCTAGGGAGACTGTTCTGCAGGTTGATTTAGTGAAGGAAAAGACCCAGTGAGCCCAAACTGGTGAGGTGCTCCATGTCTCCCTTGCAAAGCCATGAATATCCTCAGTTCCCATTGAAGTCAATGGGGAATTGAGGCTGCTCAGTATCTTGCAGAAGCTGTTGCGTGTCTAGCAGGGCTCAGGGCCATTGCTGGCTGGCAATCCAGAGAGTGGAGCCCTGGGTGTGCACTGCCAAGTGGGAGATCTGGATTCAAATGGTGGCCATGTGGCTTTGCTCCCAGACCAGCAGGCAGGAGGTGCTGTACAAGGTCTAAACCTGCTGTTCTCACACTGCGATCCCAGGACATCTTGTGGGTGGTCTGCAGAGAGCTGGTCACATAACACTGGCTCTCCTCCTTGCTTCCAGCTCCTGAATCATACCGATGGACAGCTAAAAACATGCCAAATGCTCCCCCAGCATGGCTTCTCTGTGAGAGCAATGGCTGCCATCACCACCGGGACGGCAGGCAGTCACCAGTGTGTGTGTGTGTGTGGGGGGGTGGTCTGAGCTATCACTTCTACGAGCTTATGAAGCCACTGACTCCTGCTTCCACTCTGCCCATGGCCTCCTCCGTCTGGGGGTTTGGATCGCCTACCCATCCGCATCTCCCTCCAGCCAATGCTGCCCCTGCTCACCCCCATCCCTGGTTCTCCAAACCTGTCTTCACCGGCGTGCCCGCAGGTCACTCCTGTCTGGCACTGGGGAGCTGGGCCAACTGCTCTTCTGTTCAACTCTGTTCATTCTGTTGCTGTACCCACCCTTCCCACCCTGTGTGTCTGATTTGTCCCCCTGTCTGTCAGGTAGATGGGAGCTCCCTGCAGTCGGGATGGTTTTTGTTACATGACTGTGCAGCACCCTGATCCTTGACAGGGGTTCCTCGGTGCTCCCCCAAGTAACAACCTATAGACTAGGCTGCCTAGTAAAGACCCACTTGGCCCACACATCATGTTTCCCCCGTGGGTTTGACAGCTGCCTGTGGCTGGCAGCCTGAAAAGAGACTGCAGCAGGGAGGTGGGGGAAGGGTGCTAAGTATCTCTCCTTGCTGTCAGCTAAAGAGAGAGCGAGAACAACCCCCTCAGTGATCTGCAGCAGGTCAACAGCTTGGCAAAGCACCAGCTGTACAGGGTGTTCCAGCTGAGCGGAGCTGTATTTATATGCAGAGAGGCTACTGGAGTAGTGAGAGCCAGGGCTGAGTGTGCACAAGCAGGCTTTGCTCACCTCATCTCAACAGCCGGCATGGGGCTGCTCTTTTGGTAGCCTGAGACGGACAAAGCCAATCTAGGTAGCGTGGTGCATTTGCAATAAACAGCAAAACCGGGGCTGTGGGGGTGGGGGTGTCTGTGTTGCTTTGATCAGTGCTGTCCCTAGAGCTGATTCAAGCACCCGTTGGGCATTGCAAAGACTGGGCCTCACTCTAGCTTAGGTTGTAGCTCTCAGAACGACAGCCCAGTTCCGGAGGTCACAGAGTCAGAGAGTTTAAGGCCAACTAGGCTGAGCTCCTGTATATCACAGGCCACCACCCCCATCCAGCACCCGCATGCTAACCCCAACAACTAGAATGAGACCCAAGTATCACAGCCCACAGGAGACTAGCCTATGATGTGCCACAGGCCGAGAAGAGGAGGAGCCGAGGGGCACCAGGGAGCCTGAGACCCCAGCAATGGCAGAGAAATGATGAAGTGAGAGAGACCCAGATAATCCTGGCTAGTGGCCCCCCCCCACTCTCGCACTGCAGTAGAAGGCGAAAAACCCACAAGGTCCCTGCTAATCTGACCGGGTGGGGGAGGGGGGAATATTCCTGCCCAACCCACCTAGGGCGATCAGACCCTGTGCTTATGACCAAGAGCCAGGCAACCTAGTGCCTGAGAGAGAGACTGCTCAGGGCCATCTTAGAGTCCTGGCCCACCCCATCCAATGGCCCATCTCCAGCCATGGGTGGGCATCTTTGATGCTTCAGAGGAAGGAGATAAAAAAAAATCCCTCCCTACACAGCGGTGGGGTGGGGGTGGGTGGTGCGGGGTGCGGGGTAGAGCCCTTCCTGACACTGCAGGTGGCCGGCTGAAACCCTTACTCAGACCTCACTTTCCTTGTACCCAGTATGGTGCAGGCCTTCCCTCACAGCACCCCTCCTCCCCAAAACAAGAGGCAATGTTTACCCTGCCTCTGCACACTCATCCCCTCTCCCTTGGAGTGCTAGTCTCCTCCCTGCCAGTACTGGGGGAGAGGCCTGGTCAGGATGGGGTGGAGACCTTATTGCATGAGCTTCCCTGCGTCCGCTGGCATCTCTGAACAGCAGCTGTGTGGACTCCCTCCCACCCTGGTCAGCCCAGCCTTAGTGAGGTCGCTGCAGAGCTCCCACGTGCCCCATGCTGGTAAGACCAGAGGGCTGGGCACCCTTTAGGGCTGGGCAAATGGGAGTGTTACCTGAGCAGAGGCTTTTGGTGTAATCTGATTGGTCTCCTTGTCCAGGTTCTGTGTGTGCTGTGTAAATACCTACAGCTGTTTGTTTTTTTACAGATGTTTACTTGTCCGCTATTAGCGTTAAGCTCGCTGATCACTATTATGGTGATTCTAGGGATGATCATTAAAACGTGCAATGGGCTGTTTAATAATAATGCGTAGAGCGTGCAGTTTGCTTCACATTATGGGGAAGTTTAAGCAGAAGCCCAATTAAGCCCCTGAATATTCCCAGTTATGCAAACTATTAGGCAAACTACAGGCTCCCCTGGAGCCTGGCATTCTGCAAGCAAGCCACTGCTATCCTGAAGCCAAATGAAAATCCTATTGTGCTGGTGCTGTTCATATTTCATGCTCTTGTTTCCAACAATTAAATGGTGACATTTTGCCAGACATTATGAGGAAATGAAACCACATCCTTTACCAGCAGAGAGAATTCCAATGATCCCTTGTGGCTCCTAGATACTGTGGTGATGGTCACAATACAAACTGCAGTTGACTGGATTAGGTAAAATGATGGAGATGGTGGGAGGGGCGTTTACATAACAATTGAAAGCTTTTTTTTTGTTTGTTTCTTTTTTTTTTCTCCAGATATAAATCATTGCATCAGATCCTCAGCTGGTGGAAATCAGTGTAGTTCCACTGAAGTCAGTAGAGCTAAGCTCATTTACACCAGGTCAGAATCTAGCCCAAAATGTATTTTCTCCTGATCTTTAAAAGCAAAATGTTTAATACCAACACTTCTGACTTACATTACTGTACAAACACTGAGGACCTGGTTCTGCCATCCTTCCTCACCTTGAGTAGGTGCTAACTCCATGAATAGCTCATTGACTGCTAATTTGTCCTACCAGTCCCCACACTCTAAGTTCCTGTGAGCTAAGGTTATTAATCCATTTGGGGTTTTTTCTTTCTCTTTCAGGTGAATTTGATGCTGGTGAAAAATAACAGAGTGGTAGCTCTGGAGTGAGAATTTCTCTGTAGCCAAAGTCAATGTACAGCCTAGGCAGCAGCTGTGCAAGCTTTACTGTGCTACCTTGCATGGCCTGGATGGAGGAAAACCCCTAAGTAGGTGAGAGGGGTGTCGCAACTCTCTGACCCATTGAATCTGTGGCCTCTCTGCTGAGACAGTTGGACTGGTGGAGCATGGTGATGCAGATACACGTCTACAGGCAAGGTCTGAAAACCACAAAGCCCATGTTGCTGAGCAGCCGCCAGACGGAAATAACGTTTGGTCCCAACCATCCTGTACTAGATGGCAGCTGGCGAGACAGAAGGGAAAGTGCCCATCTGCTGGTCACCGTCCTCTGTGCTATCCAGCCTCCTTTCTAACCCTTGTGTTTCCACATGCAACACTGGGTGCTGGAGTGGAAAGGTTGGAATTCAAGCAACATCCTCCAGCACTTTGTATTTCCCCTTTTAAGCCTGAAATGTCTGGGGCCTGAATCTGATCTCACTTGCAAGGCAAGAGTAATCCATGGCAGTCAGCAAGATTCATACAGTCACAGAATTTAAGGGCACAAGGCCACAAGGGACTAACTGACCATTTAGTCTGACCTCCTGCGTAGCACGGGCCCCCAACACCTGCACACTAAAGCCAATTGTAACAGGTAGTCCCATGCTTCTGCTGATCACAATGAAGTGAACCTTCTCCAAGCACAAAAAAAAAGTGTTTAGGTATGGCACATGGGGTGTTACAGAGGGCCCAGACTCCAAGGCATGGGCTTGCAAAGGCTGCCTGATTGCCCTTGCCTGTTTTTAAGTAGATGCCAGCTGTTCTTTAAACAATCTCTTCCTAAGGTAATAAGGCACACTGCTGAAAAGAGATTCTCTCGGATGAAAAGGGCAGAAATTGATATAAAATTATCTGTATTGCCTGGAATTCTGACTAGATAAAACCATATGTGGCGAAAACAAGCTTGTTTAAAAAAGAAATGACTATTTGGTCACTGCTTAAAAGTTGGTACTTAGACATTCCATGAATTTTAAAATAAAGACATCATGAGATTTGAACATTCTTTGACTACACACAAACTGCAGTATCTAATACCTTCCTTGCCCATTAAAGAGCTGTGCTGGAAAGCAGAGCATGTTAAGTATTATACTGATAGAGTAGTTAGTTAAATAGGATAATAGAACTGTGTTTGTAAGGGTTGGAGTCAAGGTATAGAGACCACACATAAACAAGGCCATTACCAACCACGGTAAGCAGAGAGAGAGAATTTCATGGATATCTCCACAAAAGGCTTTGTATATTTATAACAACCCTGCACAATGGTTTGGAACACAGTCAGAGGGCTTTCAGAATGATTCTGGGAGTTAAATATCACTGCATAAATATGTCTTACATCACTTTGGAATCAGCCATAAACCCAGCTTCTAGGGGCTCTGACCCAAAGTGAGGCTGGAGCCTAGAGCCCTGCACCCCTTCATTGATTAATGATGGCAAACATTTTTAGGCAGAGCACAATGAAGGCAAATAGAAAACGGTTTTGAGACACTGGGGTGTAAAAATAATTGTATGATCATCATGCTGATTCTTTATTTGTATGATGCTAGCACACACAGGTCATGTGTGACCCCATTGTGCTGAGCACTACGCAAAGTTATACAACTAGAGCTGCTTGGAAATTTTCTCATGGAATGTTTTTCCCTGGGAAAATGCTATTTCATCAAAACCAAATTTTTCCATGGGATTTTCAATGAAATTTCATTTCGGAATAAAAAGTGTTTTGATAAGACTGAAGCAGAACATGTTGAACGCAGTCAAATGGAATACTCATTTTCAAAGGACATTTGTTTGGAAATTAATTTTTTTATATTGTTACTTATGTTGTTGTTTTTAAAAGTCTGAACTGGACAAAAAAAATGGTTTTGATTTTGTTTAAATGGAATATCTCGACGGGCCCAAAATGAGATTATTTTTCAAAGATCTTCTTTCGTGAGACATTTTGATTTGATTTTGGTTCTTGTTCCAGTTTGGAATGGAAACAAATGTTGAACCATTGGGATGTCCCGGGGGACAGAAATTCCAAGTTTTGACCAACTCTCGTCACAACATCTGTAATGATATCTCAGACACATAGGAGCTAGATCCTCAGTGGGATTTATACCAGCTGAGGATTTGGGTCACAAGAATCTCTCAGAAGGAACCATTCTGATCATCTGGTCCAACCTACTACATCACACAGGCCAGAGAATCTCACCCAGTGGTTCCCTCATCAAGCCTCTAAGATTCTTGGTGGATTCTTTTCTATCTGAGGGCTCCCTGCCTCCTCCATGTGCAAACAGAGCCACAAACTGAAACGAACATGGCTTTTGTGTGTGTGTAAGTTTCAGTCTACTCTTCTCTGGCAGGTGGAGGAGAAAAGCAGAGAGGGTAGAGGAGCAAGAGAGGCTGGGCAGAGGAGCTTATTCTTTAGCATGTAGGAGAGCAGCAAACAGAGGGATGCAAATGTCAGGAACCTCCATGGCTGGAAATCACATAGAAGGAGTGAATTGGTGAGTCAACTCTCTTGATATTACCAAATGAAGATCAACCGCTAGTGGAAACATGCTCTGCTTCCCAAGCTGAGATGTAAAGTTAAGAGCAAATGAAATTCATGTCCCTTCCCTATGTTGTAGATGATGAAGATGACAAAAAAGACAGACTTTTCCAGATGGTTTGAAATGTAAATCAAAAATGGAGAAATTAATCTGGGCACTTTCCACTCACCCATGTGTCTTTAACATACTAACCCCACAGCCAAATGGTTCCTGCAAGACTCAAGACAGCTACAGGGTATAAATAAAGTTCACAGCCAATCAATGGAGGCTGCTGATACCTGAAGGCAGGTAGAGTCTCCTTCATGATAGGGAGCAGACAGGACTCAGCAGTAATGAATATAGAGTAGACTCCTTCTTAAGGCTGCTGGACCCAGGCAGATCCTGTGGTTCTCTCTGATTCCTTTTGTTACAACACAGGGTCACTGAGAAGTCATATAAGAAACTGCTGACTACATGACAGCAGCGTACAAAGATGCTGCTCAGATCCAATGTACCAATAGTTCCTATGATTCAAAACAGCCTAGTCAGAGCAACCCTGCATGCCCTGAGAGCCACCTCTGCAAGGAATTCAGACTCTGTGTAAAGTAATTGCAAGAGATCACCATCCAAAGCATATTGATTGCTTTAATTTCAATAAATAGGTATTTTGTATTTACAAAAACTTTACTCTGCAACTGCTGCAAAATCCGAAATGAAGCGATACAGCAGTGCGGCACTATCCATAATAAAATGCTAATTGCAATTCATAAATTATATTGGGCTGCACAGGACTATTGAGGAGCCCTGAATGAAATGTAGTGTTCAATTTATCCTATGCATGCTGCCAACTATGCTGCCAGCCTCCTCCATGTCCCCCTGTGTTATTTTGTCATTTCTGTACTATCACCAATTTATCACAAAGGCAACTGAACCCTGCGATGTCCACCCCCCAGGTGACTGTGTCCTCGCTACTCTATGACTTCTAAATTAAATTGTCAAAACATATTATGGAGAAAAATATTGTGAAGGGAAAGTTCTTTACCCCTTTATCCCATCGGAGGAGTGAATCTGTTTGATTGGTGGAAGACAAATCTGCTTCATTATCCTTTCCACTAGCATATTTCTTCACTCAAAGCCATCAGGAAAGATACTCAGTGCTGAAGTCTTGAAATAAATGATGATCTTCCTGCAGTAGGTGTGTATGCCACAGAGACACTTGGCAATGGGTCCTCTGTTCTTTGCAAACAACTTTCACCTCAGACCTGCCAAACTCACTCCACCAAACACATATCTTGCAGGGTATTTATCCATAAGGGGTATCATGTGAGGTGATTACAGAAAGCTCATAACTTGTCAAGACTCATAATCATACTAAGACGTGTGTATGGGAAATATTTAAGGAACAGTGTGTTTATAGTCAAGGTATGTTTTCTGGACTTGGAGTTGAAGGTCATGGCCCAGTCATGCCACGGGGAGCTGTCACTCTGCCCTGTCTGGCCCATGATGCAATATTAGGTTCAATTGCTTAGCCTCTTTCAATACTAACACATTGAATGGGAAACCATCAGAGGCCACGACAGAGTCGAAACCGCTTAAAGGTAAAATAGAAACTGCAGCAAGACAGGGGCGAATAGAAACAAATATTCTGTCTGCGAATAGAAACAATAGCCTGTTTCAATATCACAGAGTGAGGGGAAGGATGTTCTGGGTCCATTCGCTGAGGAAACCCTCCGTGGGGAGCAGGGGTGAGATGGGACATTCATGGATGCTTGGATTCTGGGTTGTCTGAAATCAGCCAGCTCTACAAAAGACTGAACTTCAGGGGAAAATCAGTTGTATTAGATAGGAAAGGAGCCACTGATAAGTGTAGACCCAGATTCATGTTCTATGTTTTGTTTTGTATTGTATCCAGATGTTTCCACCATTCTCCCCTCTTTCTAGTTATTTCTTTATTACTTTTTAAATAAATCTACTTTACCTTTACCATAGGTGCTCACAAGTGATGTGTAGTTCACAGGATTGGGGGCTTAGGGTGAAACTGGTAAATTGAGGCACACTGCACCTTCAGAGACAAAGGCTCTGGAAGTTCTGTGAGTAGTCAGTGACAAGTGCTGGGTATCTCAGGGGAGTGATTCAAAGAGATTCAGGGGTTGGGGTGCACCTATTGTTAACCTGGCAAGGCAAGGAAAAGGCTGGCCTAGCCCAGAAGAGTGTGCTTGAGTGGCTGAAGGGCTGTCAGTGTCAGGGACCTAATGCTGAGCTACCACAAGCAACACTCCCTCTTGCTGGAGGTGGGCGGGGGTGGGAGGTAACCAGACATATCACAGTTCTGGGTACCCTGAGAACCATCACAGTGTGTGTGCGTGCGCACTTAATCAGGGCACGAGAAAGGGGCCAATTCTCACCCATGCACAGACTCACTGTAAGCCCCTCGATGGGAATGCCTCGCACATGGGGGAGTCCCCAGCTGGTTCCTACACTGCCCTTCTTGGAGCACCTGGAACAGAGGGTATGTCAGGGAAAGAGAGCAGCCACAGCAAATGCACTCTAGGTATCCTCAGCCAGTGTGTCATCTCTAGGGGACCAGAAGCAGTTTGCAGATGTTAGAGCAGCCTTAATGCTGCTCTGACTTGCACTTGGCACCATGAAGAGAATAAAGGAGGCATAACCAACTCCCTGACAGCTCCTCTCCTCTCTGTTGGGACCATCGTAAGGTAACATCAGAGAATCTGTCCCAAGATATGTAGTGATTATGGCCTGGATACCCACTGAGAAACACATGGCATAGCTCTAGAGGGACTTGCAAAGGTGGGTGGTCTTTGCACTCCCCTCTGTATATTTCTGGTCCCTTGGTGTAATTTAGAGCAGCCCCCATGCCAAATCCGAGTCACATTAAATCAACGGGAGCTCTGCAACCTTATTTGGTGAGACTAGTATTTGGCCCAGTCTCTAAAATCAAGGAGATTCTTGCTGCTGGAAGCAATCACCAAAAAAAAATTGAGCCAGAAACATAAAATGGCAGATATGGATTCTCAAAGGAAAAAAGACTTTGGTTTCCACCTTTCATCATTCACACATTTGGTCTTTAAGTTTGGCGTATTGGTAATAAAAAGCAGGTAACACACTATGCACTGTTTGGCTTTGGATGATATTAACATAATAAACAGATTATGTATTTATTCCGCTACAGGGCAAATAAAGCAGGTAATGTCCCTCCTTTAAACAGACTATTTTTAAATGCTCACAGTTCTTTAGCCTTTATGATGCATTACCCATCAGTAGCCAAATTGCCCTGTATTTGCAACTTTATGGGCACATTTTATCAAACAAACAGGGGCTGCACTCAAAGCATGGAAATAAACCATTCAGCTTCAGTTTGGCATATAATATTCATGTGCAAAAAATGGCCAGAAAAAATCCTTTTCTCTGCTGCAGTTCCACACTCCTCTCCAAACCACCTCAGCCCTTGTGGAGAAGGGGCTGTGTTCACTTGAAGTTGTTTGATATGAGAGGTTGTTCTAGGATAAATGTTGTTAAGCGAAATTGTATGATGGAGTATGTTGATGGACAAAACCTAGAAGAACATATGTTGGAGGGTGCCCGGAGACACAGGCTCAGAGTTTGGGATGCAAACTCCATCCCAGTTCTCATTTGGCACTTTGGGGAGTTGAATTTGGAGGGTGGTCGGAAGGCTCCCGAGCAGAGAGGGAGCAGGATCACAGAGGGGGTTAGGGAGCTAAACTGTGATCAGGAACGGAAGCCCGGCCAGGCTTTCCCTTTAGGAGAAGGAAGTAGAAGAGTCGCTGCTCACGACTGTTATGTTTAATCTGGTTAAATACAAGTTTAGCCATTTTTAAACCCAGAAGACAGAGGCATAGTAAATCAGTAACATTTTCAAGAGAGCTGCAGGGTCACCAGAACATAAGAACAACCATACTGGGTCAGACCAAAGGTCCATCTAGCCCAGTGTCCTGTCTTCCGACAGTGGCCAATGCCAGGTGCTTCAGAGGGAATGAACAGAACAGATAATCATCAAGTGATCCATGCCCCATCGCCCATTCCCAGCTTTGGGCCCTTGAAATACAGTTAGGAAAAGCAGCCAGAATCACCCGATATCCACAGGAAAGTGTCCTGACAGGAAGTTTAGAAGGCTAAACAACTGTACTAGTGACCCAGAGACACCAGTGTTGAAAAAGGTGTGTGCCAAGGAAGGGGTGGGTCATCACAGTCCAGCACCAAGGGCTGCTGACAACCTATGGTCGTGCCAAAGTCTACACAGCTTAGACTGGCGTAGAGCTCACTGCTGAATTTAGCCCATTGTGGCAATCGCCTGAATGTTTCATTGGTTTTAAACATCACCTAACTAAATATACTGATTCCTTCTGGCTTAGGTGAGAGGAGCTGCGAGGACCTCAGCTAGCTGCATTGTTCATTCAGAAGCCAAATGTTCATCTTTTCCCAGGACTGTGGAACCCATACATGTCCCACTGAAGAAATAATAATAGTAATGATAATAAAAGTATGGCTGCTGGTTCCTTTGGGGAGGAAGACTGACAGTGTTGCTGGCAACCACCACAGGCCTGGCAAAGGCTGAGCCACAGCAGCAGCTGTGCACAGACGTGTAATTGCGGGAATGCTTTATGTTAGTAGAAAGTAGGTGTGAAGGGTCCCAGGCTAACGGAAGAACATCAAGGTGCCTGGGAAGCCAAGGGCTAATCTGCTGCCCACTGAAGTCAATGGGAAAGCGGAGACTGACTTCAGTCGGAATTGGATCAAGGCCCAAATGTGCTGTGATGAGTAAACTGCTAAGGGTGGGGGAGTGGGGCATGTGTTTCAGCACCTTGGAGAGGAGGCAGTGAGACATACACAAAACTACAAACTACCCCCGCCTCCTCCTCACACCCCTAAAAAGAACATATACATGAGCCCCTTCTGCTAAGAACTGCCCAGGTAAAAGCACCAGGCTGAACCACAAGCAAAACCACAAAGTGCTTTTGTATCTATTATTATTTGGTTATTTGGCTTGTATCGATGAGCAGAGATAATCTCTAATGAGAAAGGATTTCTGGAACTGTCAGCCAAGGGCATCATGAGTGAAGGGCGGTTAGCCTGGGTATGGGAAGAGGGATATAATACTGCAATGTCACAGCCCTTCCTTTCTTTTAATTTTAGTTCCCTTTTGTTATTCCATTAATAATGGAGGGGATCCCTGACAACAGATGTGAAGGGAAAACCAGCAGGACATTCAAATAGCTCATAGGGTAAAGCAATGGTCTTTTTTATGAGAAGACAATCTAATCATCAGCTGGAAGGCTCTTGCAGTCTCTCCCCAGAGTTGATGGTAGGTGGCAGGGGATCATCAAAGAGAAATTTGCTCCCTCTTGTGGTCTGTTAAGCCGAGCTCTCAGAGGCTTTAGGTTGGTACAAGATGCATTTGTTTAATTTGACTTTGTGACTAGGGCTAATAGCTGGGTGGGTATTTATTGTCTTGAAGGACATGACAGTAGTGAGGAACAAACAACTAGTTAATTTTGGTTGCCAATCACTTTTATTTTAATTTCTATAAATTTACCCACATATTTTCATTATGCATGTGATACAGAATACAGTAGAACCCCTATTTTATGAACTAACTGGGGACTGAGGAGTTCACAAAATTTAAAACTTCATAAAATTGAACATCTCCAAATTACAGCAGGTAGGATACGTACATTGCACGATGATGCACTACGTTAGACACTTCAAGATTCTACCATGGAAAAAGGTACTATGTAAGTGCTGCATGTATTATTTTTTTTATAATTGTATTTATTTATGATGATGATCTTGAGATGGGAGTCAGGCAGAGTGAAGATGGAATAAAAACAGTGTAAGGACTGCTTTGGCCATAATCTTTTCAAGACAAGACCATATCATCCTAAATATACACCACTTGTTTAGCACTCTGATTTTTGCTACAATAACCTTCACCCTACTAGGTATATATTCTGACTCTCGGGGACATGGTGGGGCAGGCTGATTGTAGCAAAATTGTCTTCAAAAGAAATAATTAATAATGATGAATAATAAAATCCCTAGCTCTTAGTGCATTTCATCAGGCGAGCTGAAAGAACTGGTACAGGTTTGGTGTGCAATCGGAAATGGGGTGCACCACAGCCAGTAGCCATGTGTATGTGTACAACTGGGGCGATACAATGGGCCTTTCAAAATCATTGACAAATTTTGACCAGACTCCTCACCTTGAGAAATAAACGTTCAGTGCATGAACCCACCGAGCCACTAGGAGTGTTTGGATTTATTTTTTCCAGAAAGCTTCATCTGCCTGTCAACCACACTTTATATTTCCAGTAATCCTTCCTTCCTTTTCAAAAAATCCTAAATACAGTTTATTGTCTCCCCCCAATGGCCAAATTGAAAACTTCCTGTAAAGTCCCACAACTTCCAGGGGTTTGTAGAAATAGGTGCCCAAATGTTCATAAAATACCTAGTTACCTATACATAAGGGTTTTTTTAAAACAGGAAACCGATGTGCCTACAGAAATGGAAGAACACAAAAATAATATCCAGTATTTCTCAGGTTTCAGAGTAACAGCCGTGTTAGTCTGTATTCGCAAAAAGAAAAGGAGGACTTGTGGCACCGTAGAGACTAACCAATTTATTTGAGCATGAGCTTTCGTGCTTAGTCGCTAAGGTGCCACAAGTACTCCTTTTTAGTATTTCACAGTGTTTCAAAGCTACTTTGAAAGTCTTTTGCCCATCTCTGGGAATATCATAGTGCAAATGTAAGGTATAATTAACAATAATTTCAAAAGGAAATAATTGACTGGACTTTTCCTACGTTTGTCTTATACTCCTCATCTTTTTATTTTTTCATTTAATAACCTACATGTGTTTCTAATTGTCTTTTCTTCTTAAATTGGTCTGGTGTCAATTGATTTAAGGTAACATTTTTTCAAGGTGTATTTATTTATTTATTTATTTTCAAGGTTTATTTATTATTTATCCATGTAGTTCCTTAAAACTGCTTAGATGTGTTTAGAGCATAATTTAGCTCAATTTAGCATAATTTTTTCACCATCTGGAAAATGTTATTTTTTGTTTATCTAATCCATCATCTATCTGCCTATCCAGGCATTTATATTGAGCTCATTACCTAAGTACAGGTTATTTTGTTCTGGGAGTCTGTAAGAACCAAAACTTCAGAAAATATATGGTAATTGAGTAATAAAAAGGAAGGGTGGTGTTTGTACATTTATAACATCTAACTGCTATACATAATCCACAGATCACAACATCCTCCATCCTTCAGAAAGGACGATAAATATTGTGTCTACATAAGGTACCTTTACACCCCCATTACTGTAATATCTTAGTGTGTATATCTTAGTGCCTCAGTCCTTACAACAGCCCTGTGAGGCTTGGAAGTATTGTTCTATTTGCAGGTGAGGACCAGAGGCACAAAGAGACTAAGTGAGCTGCCTGGATCACAAACAAAGTACATGATGGAGCAGGGAATTCAATCGTACCCTCCAAAGTCTCAGGCTAGAGCCCTAGCTACTGAACTACCTTTCCTCTCTGTCTGTCCATTCTACAGAGGGGGAAACAGAGGCACAAACAGGTTAAATTATTTGTTCTGAAAGTACATAAATTCGTTTATCACCTTCATTACAAAACATTGTCAAGTACAATTCTCCTAAAATGACATCTTCTCTTTTGTTCCTACATCAACAAGAGGGAGACTAGAAGACGCAAAGGGCTGAGTGTCTGACACCTAGGTCCCGGCTTTGAACCCAGCCCATTAGTGGTAGGGCGGATGCCTGTGAGATGTTTTGTAGTTGTGAGAGAAAAAACGCAGAGAGAGCTAGAATAGATAGAGTACAGTGGGTTGTTTCCGAACCAGGACTACAATTCCCATAATGACAGGTTTCAGAGTAGCAGCCCTGTTAGTCTGTATTTGCAAAAAGAAAAGGAGTACTTGTGGCACCTAAGCGACTAACCAATTTATTTGAGCATAAGCTTTGGTGAGCTGTAGCTCACTTCATCAGATGCATTCTCCCATAATGCACTTGTGGTTTGTTTTTCTAACAGAGACTACTACTCCCACAATGCACTTGGGCTTTTTTTCGGGGCTAAGACTACAATGCCCATAATGCTCTTAAGTGTTATTTTTTTCCAATAGGGCCTACTACTCCCATAATGCATTTGGCCCACTTAATTTTCTGTCCGGGACTACAAATTCCACCATGCACTGGCAATTCACTTGGCAGCCCTTTGTATTCAGAGAGAGGATGTGCAATCCCCACAAGGCACGTTGTTTGAGGAGAGTACAACCCCCACCATGCCCCGGGACTGCAAGTTTACAGTGCGCCATGCCCTTCTGCGGGTGCGGGCTCCAACTCCCATCAAAAACCAGGAGGCTTCCCGCCTCCCTGCCCGCCCCAGGTAAAAAACTACAGCTCCCAGAGTGCACTGGGCTCCCTTCTGGCGTAGGGTTCCCAGTGTTAGTTGGGCATATTCCCCGCGGTTTCATCACATGGCAGAATCTTTAACTAAAAATAATCTTTCATTCCTGGAGGGTTGGCAACTGGAGAGGGAGGTAGAGGGGGAAACCTACAGCTCCCGACAGGCCCCTGGGCCCACACTTCCGGGGCTGTGGCAGGCCGGGAGGGCGGAGAAAACTACAAGTCCCAGCATGCAGTGCGTCTCCCGCTTCCGGAGCCGTGTCATCCTCCGGCAAGGGCGCTAAGGGCGAAGAAAACTACAAGCCCCAGCATGCCGTGCAGCCCCTCCCTCACTTCCGGCGCTGGGCGGTTGTGGGAGCCCCCGGCCGCGACTGCGAGCGCACGCACGGCGGCGGTGACAGGAGCTGCCGCCGGAGCCTGGGGCGTGCGGGAGGCGCCGAGCGAGGGGCCGGGCCCGCGCCCCGGGCAGCCGGCCGCAGCGGGGGCAGCCGCCATGGCCGCGGGCTGGTGAGGGCGGCCGGGCGCGATGTTCGTGCAGGAGGAGAAGCTCTTCGCCGGGCGGGTGCTGAGGCTCCATGTCTGCTCCGCGGAGGGCGCGGAGTGGCTGGAGGAGGTGCCCGAGGACACGACGGTGGAGAAGCTCAAGGAGCGGTGCTTGAAACACGTCAGTGAGGCCGCCCCCCGCCCCCCCCCTCCGGCCCGCTCCCCGCCCCCCCTCCGGCCCGCTGTCCCCTCCCCCCCCCCCCAGGCCCCTGGCTATTTACAGACCCCCTGCAGGCTGCCGGGGGGGGGGGGTCTGCAGAGCATTGGCGATAGGCCCCGAGTGTGCGGGGGGGGCAGCTGTACCGTCCACCCCCTCCCGCGCTGTCTGTAGCCAGCCTGGGGCGGGCCGGGGGGCGCGGGGTCCCTAGTGCCCTCTGCCTCTTTCCCCCACCCCACACGAGAAGAGTTCCCTTGACGCCATTTCGTGGGGTGGGGGGGGCCTGCGGTCAGTTCCCTTTGACTGGAGCGAGTTGTTGCATGTCCTTGGGGGTGGGGCGGGGGTGTAACGATTACGTGCCTAGGGGGTGCCATTGCAGTCTGGAGGCGTCGTACGCTATGTGACCTCTGAGCCTGCTGGCCCAGGTAGATACTGCAGTGGGTAGTAAATATTTCAGAATTCATATGTCTCCTCTCTCTCCCCCTCCCACCCCCTTTAAAGGTGCTGTGGAAAAATAGAGAGTTGTTTTCCCTCCCGACTCCTTCCTTTGCTGTGTCTGTAATTGTCCCACAAAAATTGAGGCATGGTGCATTTCAGCCTATGAGATGAATACCTGCTTCAGAAAGTTACGAGTTCATGGGGGGAAAACGGGATTAATATGGGAATTGCTCTGCAATCTTTAATGACAGGAGTTTGGATTCATGGGACCCCTAGACTACATATTTCTAGCTCTTATACTCGCAGTATTGTGTGAGTTGGCAGATACAGCTTGTGAGAAATTGCTGAAGTGGTTTTGGATGATTCCCTACAAGCGACTGCAGTGTTTTTTTTTGTTCCTTGGTTTTCTGTGTTTTCAGAACAAACATAAAGAACAGGGGTAATAACTACAAGTTCTTTGAAGTTGGCAGTGGGGCAGTACTTGTGGGAAGATTACTACTTACTACATCACTACTGCTTAATAGGTGCAGTATTGTTGTGGGTTTCATGTTCTCCTTGCCTTCAATGGATTAAGACTTTCACATGTCTCACAGTCCTTTGCCCTCTAGGAAACTGATTGCACTGAAGAGAGAATATGTAAAGGTGTCATTGTAGCAATGTGGCTGAAACACAGGGGGTTTCTTCATTCTAGTTTGCTTATTTACCATACATGTCTTGTTGGTGACAGGCTTTGGATCTGTTCACCAAGTAAATGAGTCAGTTTGTTGGAGGGTCTATTGGACTGCAATTCTAAGCTTGTAATAACTGTTCTATTTTTCAATAAAATGTGACAAATACAATAACGTATAGGATCTCCGTACATGAGACACTTACCATGGTTTGCCCCAGAAGATGCAATTCCTGGGCCAAGACAGCGTGTTCTAGTTGTCTGAGCCAGGAACTCCTGAGTTCTAATCTTGACTCTGACGCTAAATGGCTGTGTAACTGAAAAGGGGGTGGGCGGGGGGCAGTCCTTGCCTATTTCTCAGAGGAGTAAAGGATATTGCCTTGCAAAGCACTTTTCCTCTTCAAAGTGTTGTTGAAATGTGAAGTTTTGTGTCTTAGTAATTGTGTGTGTGTGTGTATAGATTTTACATATAGATATATGAGAGCAAGCAGTTATAGCAGGAGCCTATAATTATGTTTACGCTTTCTGTTGCTTACATAACTTTAAGTGAAGGGGTTTGTCTCTTAGATGTGTAGTGATTCTGTTTCAGTAAGGGTGGCCAGTAAGCTAAATGTAGTACACAAAATTTTTATAATGGGTCCCCTTGCTGTTTATTTTAAAATACAGAGCCCCTGGAAGCTATAGGTCTCAGCATGCAATATTCCAACTTGATGACCAGTGCAACCGTTGGTTGGGCAAAATTAGGGTGCCTCTGCATTATAGAATAGGTGTGGGACTACCACATCCTGCAGAGCTCATGGAGAATTATCATGTTGCTATCCTTATTCAGCCCAACTGCGTGATTATGCACAAGAGTGGTGTGAGGATTGCCAAGGCAGAGTAGTACAATGATTGCATGCATAAGTGCAGATCTGAAAGATCTTTAATTTTCAGGAAGCCTAATTGAAGAAGTGCTTGTAGGTAATGTGAGTCAGGGCAGAAGACAATTAATAACTAGGCAGTGGTGGTTGATCTCATTCTGTCTGCTTCTTAGTGGTAATGGTGTGGATTTGCATAGCCATTATGGATAATATATAACCTTATGAAGAGGAAAAATGGAAATGGGAAAATCGTGTCTAGTGATCACAAGCATATTGTAATGAATCTTGGTAGCACCTTCAGATAACTAATGCAGCCACCTCTAATGTGATGCTAATTAATCTGTTCCCCAAAGCCCCTGCAATCACTATTGCTGTGAGTAGTAGAAAGTAACATTCACTACATAGTCCTACTTTGGATAAGGAAAGGAGGTGTTCTGTTTCTCACCCCTTTTCCCCTCCAGTAGCTTCCAAAAGGTCACTGAGCTCCAAAGTTGTCACTAAGTATCCTGATGTCTCTTCCTAACTAATTCTGCACTCTGATCCAGTGGCAAGCTCTTTATCCCTAATTAGCTTTCCACTTGGAGGGGTGTCTGTTGCAAGTGTTTGTGCCTACAAAAGGGAAGCATTTTTCCCCAGTTATCTGTGACCCAAGGCCCCAGTCCTACAAGCTGCTCTGTGTGGGAAGATGCCTGCCGCTGTGTGGAGCCCCACAAACTTCAGTGGGGCTTGGTGCCATGGTCTACCTGCACACGACACCTCGCAATATCAGGTCCCAAATTTGCCCAGTTCTGGTTTTGAAACTGGCAGTTTTTAAAGAGATTTTTTTTAACAGTCTGTTCAACCACACACAAGTGGGCATAATTACATTGCACTTTAGCAATTGGCGGTTCAGGAAATGACACTGTGGTTGGTGGAGACATTTCGGAATAATTCCAATGCTCAATTGTTAAGCAAAGAGGAGGGTACATGAGTCTAACATGGGGGATTTGTCACTTTGAAGAGGTGACTCTACAGAAAATACAGTATCTTCTTCATTGTGACAGATCCCAAAGGGTTGTAGCTTCCTTGCAGGTCAAGCACCTCCCAGATCAGCCTCTAGCTAAATCCTTAAGGTGGTCTGGCTGGATGTTCAATCTTTGTCCACCATATGTTTAGTGGTGTGATAAGAGACAATGGCACACTGCAACCAGATGGCCCTGGAGTCCGATTGTAGGTGTGTAGTGCAAATTTTAATAACCCACACTCTTGCTGTAACTAGAAAAGCAAAAAAGAATTTCAAAGAAAAATGTATTGAAAGCAAAACCACACAAACTCCCAACGATAGCTTCTTGTCTACCAAGGAAGATAGCAGTGCAAGCAAATATTAGTGTTGTGTACCCATGATTTTGCACACTTTAAACAAAAATTTAACTGCAGCCCTTAGATTCCTACCAAGACGCCAGTATGATACCAATAGTTGCAAAGCTCTGTAGTTTAATCTAAGCTATTTCCCCTAGAGTTATCAGCAGGGCCAGCTCTAGGTTTTTTGCCGCTCCAAGAGCATAACTGCCCAAGGAAAAAAAGAGAAGGGTGGCTGGAATGCCGCCCCAAGCACGTGCTTGCTTTGCTGGTGCCTGGAGCTGGTCCTGGTCATCAGCCCCATGTTCTTTCACAGAAGAGCCTTAATCCAAGGATTTGTGAAACTAGCATCCCTATGGTGTCTAGAGTTCAAATGCACCACTGATGGTTTCTTCTCATGCATTTTGGGTACCTCGTTAGATCAATTTTAGGAGTTTCTGTTTGATCCTAGATTCTAATGCAGTCTTTGGCTTTAGATCAGCAGTTAACATGCTGAAGGACTAGTTGTAAGTCACGGGTATGCAAAGCTAAAGCAATCTTACTGCAGCCCTGTTGATGTGTTAGGTGTTCAGAAATAATTTAAAATCGGGAGCTGAAGACTTTTGGTGAAAACTGGTGCATTTTGATGTATAAGTAAAGGAACAAACAGTTGAGCTCTCTAATGACCACACTGAATGCAGGGCAGGTAGAGAGATCATGGATTCTGAAAGCACTCTGAAGACCCTGAGTTAGATTAATACTAATGTTTACAAAAAACCCATTGCAGTCGATGGTAAATGCCTTCTTCTAGAGGTGAAAGACACTTGCAAAGAACAGACTAAAAATGCTTAGTTAAAAATGTATATTGAAAATAATCTCATTCAGAAAGCTCTCTTTTCATTTTTGTGAACAACTTTGTAAGGTCTTGCTCAAGGTTGTTAAGTGTTTTGCTTGTCCTCAGTGTGCTGCCTGGGTGAGATGAGTGACTTTATCAGTCTTTAGAGTAGCAGCCGTGTTAGTCTGTATTCGCAAAAAAGAAAAGGCGTACTTGTGGCACTTTAGAGACTAACAAATTTATTTGAGCATAAGCTTTCATGAGCTACAGCTCACTTCATCGGATGCATTTGTTCTCCCTTTCTAACATTTCAACTGTTATATTCCCTATTTCCCCTGGAATAAATGAGAAGCCTCTAGATGCACTGATGTAATGTTGTTCTGGGAGTCTATCGCTCTGGGTCACTGAACCATTCTCGCGTGAAGATGAGCCAGTTCAAGCTGTGGATGGATTCGTATTTTGTGTCGCAATGCTAAAATAGCCAAGCAGGGTGAAACGCCAGGCTCCTTTTCTAAAGTTCCACTGGGGTGCGTACATTCAGAGGCTAGATGCTTACATTTGCTGAGCTTACCAAAAGCTTAATCCTTTGCAGTCTTTCTTTGATACCTGGACAAAAAGGGCCAGATCCTCAGCTGGTGTAGATCAGCAGAGCGCCGTTGACTTCAGTGGAATTTTGCCAATTTACACCTGCTGTGGGCCTGATGCATAGTCTTAGTTTATATACTTGGTGCTACGGAACAGTTTTCAATATTCTAATCAGATTTTTTTTCCGAGAAAGAGGAGAATCCCTGGTTTTGTGTCGGGCTTTGTAAATACGCTGTTCATTGCTGAGCACTGTTGTAATCTAACTTCTGACAACATTTCTATGGGAAGCCCAAGGGTTTTGAGATTCCCGTTTCCTAATGAGAATGCAGTGACACATGCTGCAAAAATATCTTCAAATGCTCCGGTACCCTACTTCTGTTTATAATGGTTGGTGCATTTTTAGACATAGAATACTAGGAGAAACATGAGATTTACTGTGAATATTTCTCAGATCAAGAAGAAAAGCTACAGAAAACACTGTTCAGTCTAGTGGTTTACAGACAAAAGGGATTCTTGAGGCTAACTCTGTTGTTGATTCCATTGAGTGACCTCGGGCAAGACACAGAAATTCTTCTACTATTTGTATGTTCTTCTGTACAACAGGGAGTTCTTGTTGTGCTTAGTGTTTGCAAGTGCTGTGAGATCCTCTGACAGGTGCAATAGAAGTGCAAAGTATCACTACATATGATACTGCGTGAGGAAATAGTGATTGCTAGATTAGGGGGAAGGCATGTGCATTTAGCACTCCTTGTGAAGGAGATGCCTGATAGCGGCATCGCAACCTTCAGTATTGCAAGAATGCTTTAAAAGCTCAGTATTAGTTTTCTTTAGCCTTTTAACTTGAAGGCCTAATTGCTACTGTCTGAGCTGTCAGTCTTTTCCCCAAGTCTCCCTTTTGTCTGTATATTGGCCCTAGTGCCCAGAGATTTCACCTCTGAGCACTGGTGTTAGACTCTGCTCTTACACCAGTGTAAATCCAGTCTACATGGAGTTATATTGATGTACTTGAGATCAGAAGCTGGCTCACTGAATGCAGATCTTCATTAACTGCTACTGTCCTCACCTCCAATTCTTCCGGAGGTAGCTGATCACAAATGTCACCTATTAAAAGTGAAATTGTTGGTTCGGCTTTAAAGCAGTTTTCTTAGCAAACCCGTTCTATCTGTGGAATTAGGAAATATGTTTGCTTTTATTAGTGATAGAAAAATTGCAAACCATCTGCATCACCCCAACCCATAGAAACATAGGACTGGAAGGGACCTTGAGAGATCATCTAGTCCAGTCCCCTGCACTCATGGCAGGACTAAGTATTGTCTAGACCAGTGGTTCTCAAAGCTGGTCTGCTGCTTGTTCAGGGAAAGCCCCTGGCGCACTGGACCGGTTTGTTTACCTGCTACGTCCGCAGGTTTGGCTGATCGCGGCTCCCACTGGCTGTGGTTTGCCGCTCCAGGTCAATGGGGGCCGCAGGAAGCGGCGCGGGTCAAGGGACATGCTGGCCGCCCTTCCCACAGCCCCCATTGGCCTGGAGCGGCGAACCGCGGCCAGTGGGAGCCGCGATCAGCTGAACCTGCGGACGTGGCAGGTAAACAAACTGGTCTGGTGCACCACGGGCTTTCCCTGAACAAGCGGCGGACGGGCTTTGAGAACCACTGATCTAGACCATCCTTGACAGGTGTTGGTATAACTTGCTCTTAAAAATCTCCAAGGATGGAGATTCCACAACCTCCCTGGGCAATTTATTCCAGTGCTTAACCATTCTGACAGTTAAGAGGTTTTTCCTAATGTCCAACCTAAATCTCCCTTGCTGCAATTTAAGCCCATTGCTTCTTGTCCTATCCTCAGAGGTTAAGGAGAACAATTTTTCTTCTTCCTCCGTGTAGCAACCTTTTACGTACTTGAAAACAGTGATCATGTCCCCTCTCAGTCTTCTCTTCTCCAGACTAAACAAACCTAGTTTTTTCAATCTTCTCTTATAGGTCATGTTTTCTAGACCTTTAATTATTTTTGTTGCGCGTCCCTGGACTTTCTCCAATGTGTCCAGTCTGGGTGCCTCATTTCAGGAAGGATGTGGACAAAATAGTCCAGTTGCAGCCTACTCAGCGTGGAATAGTCTCTCGAACCGTGACTGCTCCTGAGGTGCTCAGACTGAAATGAACATAGGACATTATTTACGCTCAAACCTATTTTTCTCAGCAGTACATATTTTTTTTAAAAATCCCTAGAAACTCTGAGTCTGGACATTAGGAAGGCAGACCTAATCAAATGCTAGCAATTCCAGTTGAGAGGCCTACCACTTTAAAGCAGTATTTTAGCATTGGTCTTATATATTTCATTTGAAAAGTTTTAAGGGTTTTTGGACTAATTTGTCACTTTTTAAAGAGAGAGAAACAAAATTAACCCACTCCGATAGTGCTAAATTAATGGTCCCTCATTCCCATGTTTTCCAGATCACCATATTAAATAAATTGTCATAATAAAATATTATGTCTTACCAAATATTTCTATCTGACATTTTTCAGTTTTTTTGAGACCTGATCATGTAGCTATTACATGAGTAGCCTACTGACTTCCAAAGGACCATCCATACGTGAAAGGGCTGCAGGGTTTGGTCTTTGAAGTTAGCTGTTTCAAAAAATTGTTTAGAGCGTCACTCAGTCAGCAGGAACCTAGATATTGCTTTTTGCCAGCTTTTAATTTTAAAAGCATCACTATGATAAATCTGAAATCCTCCTTTTGGATATTTTCCCCTCTCAGCCGGGGCACTTGGCTATGTGGGGAAAAAACCCATTTTCTTGTTCACTACCACAGTGAGTACTGTTACACCATGACTCAAATCTCCATTTTTTTTAGTGCATATTATACTCAGCACATTAGCCTCTGGCATACTGTCTATTACTTAAGCTATTAAGAGATTCGTAAATGCTGGCACAGTTCAAATGTGGCGACTCCCTTTAAGACGAGGTATAGTGATTTATGCAGTAGGCTTATTATTCTTGTCCTCTGATGCTTAGTATTTATCACTTTCTCTAGTGTGTACCTGGGAGCTTAGAGGATCCAAAAAGCATAACGCATCATAAATTGATCCACGCTACTTCAGAGAAGGTCCTGACAGATACGAAAACAGTCTTGGAGGAAAACATTCAAGATAAAGGTAGGAGAGCTTTATGATTAAACCTCATTCATGCAATCGTAGCCTGTGAGCCTAGTAACATGAGACTGTATTTAATTGTGAGGTGCATGCCAAACTGTGACCTTAACGCCTATTCTGGATTCTGATACAAGGGCACTGATAAAATGGCTAAAAGGTACAGGAAATAGAAAGTGTTTAGACTATCAAATATGTTTTTGTTGCTTGCTGCAACATTGTGTGTTCTTTTTTTTTAAAGAAATAAACATGAATTATACACACCGTAGTTGAGCCAGTAGATTAAATGATTTTTTTATTTTGTAAATTGTTTTAACACAAACAAAAAAGGAACTACAGTTATAAGCTGATATGTCTAATAGGTTCATACAGCTTTTACCCTTTGCAATTGTGTTTGAGGATGGTAAATACAAATTAGGCCATTAGGCCTAATACCACCCCATGCATTCTTTTATTTTTACTTGGCTTTTGGATATTTGGTAGGGCTGTAAAGCGATTAATCGCGTGATTAATTTTGCTTGATCATGCTGTTAAACAATAATAGAATACCAATTTTTAACATGTTTGGATATTTTCTGCATTTTCAGATATATTGATTTCAATTACAGCACAGAATACAAAGTGTACAGTGCTCACTTTATATTTATTTTTGATTACAAGCATTTGCCCTGTAAAAAAAAAAATAGTATTTTTCAATTCACCTAATACAAGTACTGTAGTGCAGTCTCTTTATCACGAAAGTTGAACTTACAAATGTAGAATTAGGTACCAAAAAACCTGCATTCAAATATAAAACAATGTAAAATTTTAGTGCCTGCAAGTCCACTCAGTCCTACTTCTTGTTCAGCTAGTTGCTCAGACAAACAGGTTTGTTTACATTTGCAGGAGATAATGTTGCCCGCTTCTTGTTTACAATGTCACCTGAAAATGAGTACAGGCGTTCACATGGCACTGTTGTAGCCGGTATCGCAAGATATTTACATGCCAGATGTGCTAAAGATTCATTTGTCCCTTCATGCTTCAACCACCGTTCCAGGGGATATACGTCCATGGTGATGATGGGTTCTGCTTGATAACAATCCCAAGTAGTGTGGACCAACGCATGTTCATTTTCATTATCCAAGTCAGATGCCACCAGCAGAAGGTTGGTTTTCTCTTTTGGTGGTTTGGATTCTGTAGTTTCCGCATCAGAGTGTTCTTTTAAAAGCTCTGAAAACATACTCCACACCTTATCCCTCTCAGATTTTGGAAGGCATTTCAGATTCTTAAACCTTTGGTCGAGTGCTGTAGCTATATTTTGAAATCTTACATTGGTACCACCTTTGTGTTTTGTCAGATCTGCAGTGAAAGTGTTCTTAAAACGAACAAGATGTGCTGGGTCATCATCCGAGACTGCTATAACACGAAATATATGGCAGAATGCGGGTAAAACACAGAGCAGGGGACGTACAATTTCCCCCCAAGGAGTTCAGTCACCATTTAATTAACGCATTATTTTTTTAACAAGCATCATCAGCGTGGAAGCATGTCCTCTGGAATGGTGGCCAAAGCATGAAGGGGCATACCAATCTTTAGCATATCTGGCATGTAAATACCTTGAAATGCTGGCTACAAAAGTGCCATGCAAATGCCTGTTCTCACTTTCTGGTGACATTGTAAATAAGAAGAGGGAAGTATTATATTCTGTAAATGTAAACAAACTTGTTTGTCTTAGCGATTGGCTGAACAAGAGGTAGAACTGAGTGGACTTGTAGGCTCTGAAGTTTTACACTGTTTTGTTTTTGAGTGCAGTTACGTAACAAAAAAACGCTACGTTTGTAAGTTGCACTTTCATGAGAAAGAGACTGCACTACAGTATTTGTATGGGTTGAATTGAAAAGTACTATTTCTTTTATCATTTTTTACAGTGCAAATATTTGATAAAAAATAATATACACTTTGATTTCAGTTACAACCCAGGATACAATATATACAAAAATGTAGAAAACATTCAAAATATATAATAAATTTCAATTGGTATTCTATTGTTTAACAGCCCAATTAAAACTGCGATTAATCGCGATTAATTTTTGTAATTGTGATTAATTTTTTGAGTTAATCGTGTGAGTTAACTGCGATTAATCGACAGCCCTAATATTTGGCTATAAGTAAATAAAAATAATAGATTTAAAAAAAAGAGAAAGAAACCACCTTTATCAGATCAGGACTCTAAGTCAAATCGTGGGCTTATGTTGCTTTCTGAAGTTTCTGTTTCAGCGTTTCAGTTTTATGGCTCTGTACACTTACGCTGTGCTTTGCAGATTTAGATCAGAATGGATACCTAGTATAACTCTGCTGGCTATAATGGAATTGCGCCAAGTGTGCATTTAGCCTGTAGAATTAAAATGCAAAAAGGCTTAGTGTGAAACAAAGGACGGTCTAAAGGTTAGAGTAGCCAGGTAACTGGATTCTATTCATATTGGGCATTTAAATTTTCAGAAATGCCCATTAATTTAGGCCTCAACATCTTTGTCTCCCCATTCCCCCTCCTGTAAATTGTTATATTAATGACCTATGTCACGGGTACTGGAGACTTAATTAAGCCAATGGATGTAAAGTGCTTTGAGACCTTTGGAAGAAAAGGTGCTTTGTAAGTGCAAAATATTAGTATGAAAAGCCTAACTGTACATATTAAAATAAGCCATTTCCAAGCAATATCTCAGATGATTATGACTGAAAGGATTGTTCAAATCTAACTTTTCAGCATTTTATTTACTCTTTGTATGTCACTCCGCCTCACCCATAGACCAGTCAGTTTAACTTTGTCCAGTACTTTATTGTCAGTTTGTTTTTTTTACTTTTATGCCCTAATATAGAGATACAGCAGTTGAATTGCTTGCACTAGCATAATGCTGGAGTGCATGAGTTGCAAACAGAGAAGGGGAATGTTTAGATCCAAAAACAGTTAAATCTGGAAAATCCCTGAAACAGTGCAAAGAATGCAAACAAAACCCCATTTCTATTAAAACCTTCATTTTACAATTTCTGATGTAACTGATGTTGCAATCACATGCAATATCTCTGGGGACTGTATTGTATTTATCACTGTGGGGCAGGGATTGTATGCAACTCCAGTGGGGAGGGTTATCACAGCTCCTCCAGGAACCGAAAATAGTAAGGGGTGACTTAGGTGAAACACCTTTGGAAATGTGCCACTCTCTGGGATGGCCGGTATATACCGGTGCAAAGTGGATTTTCCAGAGACCAACAAAGGAAGGGGTTGGGGCATAAAAAAGCTGCATTTAAACTGATTCAGGCCTTCTTTCTGATCCAGCAAATGGACAGGACCTTCTGTCCAGGGGCCCCAACCCTTGTGGAAGGGTTGGGAAGATTTTGGCCCCATAAGACTGATGGGTGACCTCTGGTAAGCTTTTTGCATGCATATAGGAAATTTCATTGGGGTTTTTTTTGTTTACTCTGTAATGCTTTTACTTCAAGAATAAAGGTGCTAGCTCAGAAAGAGCTGAGCAATACCTTGTAACTGCTGGGGTTATGCTGTTCATGGCCCTCGAGGAGAGAAAGCAACACATGGGCTGCTGGCAAAGTCTGTCCGGCAAACTGGCTTGCTGGGTCATCACAGTGGATAGTGCGGGGCTGTGCAGCCTTAAAACCCCAGTCGGCAGGGAGAGAAATACAGGTCTCTGCTCAAGAGAGGTGCATCTGGGAGCTGGAAGCTCTCAGTGGATGTCCTTGAGGGACCATGCAGGGGGTATACAGGAGCAATTAGCCCAAAACTAACATCCTTCATTTTACAGTTTGTAAATTTTGGGTTCTGAATTGCCCGACAGTGACCCATTGCATGTTACTTCTAACATATTCCAGTATCTTCTCTTTCTAGATGTCTTGTTGTTGGTAAAAAAGCGAGCTCCCCCTCCACCTCCCAAAATGGCAGAAGTATCAGCAGAGGAAAAAGTGAGTTCAGAAGATTTGTAGGTTTTTCTAGTCTGCATTTCCCCCCTTCTATTAACAACTTGGAAAAGCGTAGCTGTGGGTGTTCACTAGTTATTTATGGAGGCAAATGCATCCATTTAATTAAAGATTAAATAAATTAATTTCAGGAGGATTCATGTTCCTTTGAAACTTCCCAGAGAATACCATAAGCATTAGGACTGAAAATTAACAATAATGTTTGACTCAAACAGGATAGATACGCTCTGTGGAAATGCTGTAAGGTTGATCTTTGAATGTCTAATAACAGAATAAATCTATTATTTTAAGTTGTGCCGTGTTGTGCCTTCAGATAGGTCTGCCCTTTAGAAAGTTGTCTAATTGCTCTAATTTCTGTCTTTAGCTCTACTTGGTCTCTGTAACCAGGAGTTTGTCTACACTGGAGCTGGGAGCCAGCCAAAATAGCTGTGGGGATGTTACAGCACCAGCAGGGAGCTCAGATCTAGGGGGTAGAATCCACACAACTATTTTTAGCGCATTAGCGCAAGCACCACTAACAAAAGTCTGTCGGCTCGAGCTGGAGGACTGGCTCCCAGCCCCAGTGTAGACATACCCTGGGGCACAAGCATTGACTCTGCTAGAACTTCAGTTTTTTTCTCCAACTGGGATAACAGTGGGTTACTCCTCCCCCCGCCCCCCGGGGTGTAATTGTTATTACAGTGGGTCAACGCTCTCCAAAAGGACATTTCTGCCCTGGTGGTGCAGTAGCTGCCATCATCTGCAGATGTACTGAGCTGTGCCTTTGCTTGTCCTTGTGAATTGCTGGCGGTCTCTGCTTGTATGTGCAAACCTGTTTTTCTCTTCTGGCATTTGCTTCCTGTAGGTATCTGTATTTCCCTGTGCACTGCCCTTCTGAGGTCTTGCTGTGCTGCGTGTCACACACTCTTCCTCACACTATGTCCTCTGTGCATCTGTGTCTTTGGGCTTCAAGCCTTCCATTTTTGGACTGTATGTTGAAAATTTGGAGCTAGTCCAGGGCACTGTATTTCCCCATGCTGTATTTACAAACAATGCAGCGCTTTCAGTATTAAATGGCACATAAGGTGTTGACATAACTCACGTCTCCCTACTAATTTTGAACAGAAAACAGATGTATTTGAAGAGAGTACCCTACAGGGAAGGAACACTGTGACAGGTTTGGGCCCTTTGGGGTGTCACCTGATGTGCTGGGATGTCACTGAGTTGGCCTATCCTTCCAACTATGCCACTGTAACCATGCCACTGTAACCATGCCTCAGTGGGCCACAAATGAGGATGCCAAATTCAGAACAAACTGCTGAGAAATAGGGCAAACATAACCCAAAACTGGTGGTTATTCTTTCATAAGATATCACAAACCAGCCACAAAAGTAAACTCCTGTTTCACCACACTGGCTAACAAGAAGTCATTAAAAGCAGTTTCCTTGGGCATTCCAGTTCTTATATCGCCACCAAAACCACTGGATTCAGAGATTAGTGGTTCTTTACAACCAGTCTCATCAAATGAAAGGTTCTTCTGATGCCAAAGGACCAGCCACACACTCAGGTCAATATATAGCTTAGATCTTACCCAAAAATCACGCTGATGCCAATCCCTTAGAATTTAAAATCTGACAGTTTATAAATAGAAAGAAAGGTGAGAGTTAAAATTGGTTAAAATAATCAAATATGTACAGTAATTGCAGAGTTCATGGTTCAGGCTTGTAGCAGTGATGGAATAAACGGCTGGCTTAAGTCAAGTCTCTGGAATACATCCACAGCTTGGATGGGTCATTCAGTCCTTTGTTCAGAGCTTCAGTTTGTAGCAAAGTTCCTCCAGAGGTAAGAAGCAGGATTGAAGATCAAATTGAGGTGTTTCCAGGGCCTTTTATAGTCCCCCCCCCCCCCCATGTGGAGGGCATCCCATTGTTCTTACTGTGGAAAATTACAGCAACAAGATGGAGTTCGGAGTCACATGGGCAAATCCCATGCCCAGGCATGTTGCCCAGTCACAGCAGGAAATTCCATTAAGTGTAGATGGGCGTCTCCCATGATCCATTGTCAATTAAATGTTCTTTTGATGGGCCATTTAATTTGAATAGTCCCTCCAAGATGTGCTGGTTAGCTACCTTGTGGGCGTTACCCCAGGAGCAAACATTTGAAATCCAAGTCTAGAGCCGATACTTATAATTCAAATGGAAAAATGATACATTCAGACAGGATAATCATAACCAGCAAATCATAACCTTTTCATAGACACCTCAGTTGACAACCTTTTGTACAAGATTTTCTGGAAATATATAACAGTGGTTGCAACAATGATCTATATGGTCATATTTTAATCAGATAAAGTCACAAACATATCACAGTGGTTGGAGCATGGGATTGGGAATGGAGACTCCTGGTTTCTATTTCCCAACACTGTGTGACCTTTTAGTCAGTTCCCCCTCTCTGTGCCTCCATTTCCCCATCTGAAAAATGGGGATAGTTAAATGAAAAGCACTATGTGGCCCTGTGAAGAATGTGGGAAAACTGATTTATTTTTATGAAAAATATGTGACACCGCAGGTCTGATTTGGCCCTGTGATTACAAAGTATTGGTGCTATTAACCAATTGCACTGCTAGTCAATTCCCCTAGTCACAAGTTACCTTACATCGCTTGCTTGCCTACAAGAGAATATGAAATCAGTCAGCTATAGCATAATTTTTATTACTGTATTTCAGTGGATAACAAACTGTAAAATCTGATCATGCTTCCTTTTCTTGGTTAGAGGAAGCAGGAACAGAAAGCTCCCGATAAGGATGCTATTATCAAAGCAACAGCAAATCTGCCCTCTCGCAATGTAGATCGCACTGTGGCCCACCACAACATGAGGGATGTAAGTATGGTGCTTTTTATCTCCTTTAATTTACGTGCTAAATCTAGATTTCCTCCCTGATTTAACCCTTCTCTGCCACATCCATAGGTTAGTTCATCTTGTCTTGAAGACTTCGCTGAAACTTGGGCCTATTGCTTATTTCTTTTGAAATAAGTGAAAATCTATGGTTCATGTCTCATGTGAAAAATAATATTTTTGGGGGTGGGGGTGGGGGGTGTGCTTAATATACCAGTAGCGCAGATAATTTAAAACTGAATTTTAAGAATCAAATTAGGGTTTTTCCCTGTTTATGCTGTGTTTTACTTCTTGCATTTCTCACGGAATGATACAGCCTAGTCACTTTCAAGTTCTAATGCACTAGCACAGCAGTGCGAAGTTTGATTGGAAATACTGCAGGGGAATGTGGGTTTTTTTTGTTTTTAAAGAGAAATATGATCTTCGTTCCCTGGTTTTAGGGTATTCTCATACATGGTGGTAATAGTGAAACTGCCCTATACTTGTACAAATATTTACCCAGTTTGTTCCATGTTTTTCCCCAAAGGAGTTTTTTTTTTAAAAAAAAGTACCTGATCTTTTGTCTTAGTGGCTACCTGCATGGTTCTAATAAAGATCTTAATTAAAAGACCAGTGTGATTATAAACTGTTCTCCACAGAAAATAAACTTTTTTAATTCCAAGTTTGTACTGCATTCTGGGTTACATTAAGGTTCCGTTTATTATAAAGGATTAATGAATACTTATTAGAAGTTTTAATAAATGGGTTAATCAAATGTTAGACTAACAGGTCAGTGGGTTGCTTATAATCATCTATAATGCCTCATGCTGATATGGTTATAGCACCTAAGATACTTAATACATCTGATCATTTCTTAACCCTTTATGTTACGGTTCCGTTTATAAAGTGTGACTGCATTTTGTTTGCATAAAATTTTTGATTATACATTGAATTTGAGGCAGTTAGTTTTCCTCTTGGCTCTATTTTCAAAGTTTAAAACTGCCCCAGCACTGTACAGCTTTCAAAATGCTGAAGGACCTTGTGAGTATGTGTTCAATGTGTGTTCAATAGTGTGATTTCCTTCTTCAGGTTTGATGCTGCCATGTGCATGAAGTAGAAAAGCCCTACGTGCATAGTATATGCTATTAAATAATCAATAAATAAAATATTGAAAATTTTTCTTTTTTTAAAAAAAGTTAAATGTTCCTAGCACTTACTATTAATTAAAATGAAGCATGGAAAACTTAATACGTTTAGTGAGCAGCTTGCCCTGTTGTATATGGTATATAGTAAAAATGTTTCCAGATGAAGGAAGGGAAGCCATGACACATGGGTATGACAAGTCTCAGAAGAAGCTGGTCGTAGGAAGAAAATGACACTAGCCAAGAAAACTCCTCCCTTAATAGAAACAGTCCTGAAAGGAACTCCACAGCATCTGACCAGAGGCCCACTGACTTCTGTCTGCCCACACAAAGCTCCTTACAGGGTTGGGCACGTTTCCATTAAGAAATAAGCTTTCTCAGCTAGTGTCATTTTCTTATGGGACTAAAAGCAGTGGAAGAAATAAACAACCCTTTCTGCATGTCAATTCTTGCTCTATATAGCACTCCACGGGGAAACAGGCTAAACGCAGTGAAAGCAAAGCCATAATAAAGCAACTTCCTCTACAGGGGGCAAGGGCATAGCGTACAGACTCTCTAACAATAGATGTATTAAGTGAAGATGGCTATTGGTAGCTTCCTATCTAAATGTTTTGACAGTTTCCTTTCTTGCAGTTCCAGACAGAGCTCCGGAAGATCTTAGTTTCACTTATAGAAGTTGCGCAGAAATTGCTGGCACTGAACCCGGATGCAGTTGAACTATTTAAGAAGGCAAATGGTAAGAACATGTCCCTAATGTGTTTTGTGGATCCTTGTTTTGACTAGTCTTGTCAAGAAGTACCAAAAATGTTTATTCATCCTATTACAAAAGGTTTGTAGCCATACGCACCTTGTTCTGTGATTCCATCATCTCTCCCAAGCTAAGCAGAGGTGGGATGGGTCAATATATCAGTGGGACTCTTCTGAGGAATACCCAGGTGCAGAGGAAGGAAGCGCTGTTGGATATTCAGTAGGTAACACTCTTCCCTCTGACTAATCAGTCTCAATTTGATGGCTTATTTTTTAAAATATGCCTGTCCTATATTTAGGACCCTACCAAATTAACAGCTGTGGAAAAACATGTCCTGGACTGTGAAATCTGGCTAGTGTAGAGGAGGGACAGGGTTGGGGCCTCTTACCAGATGCTGGGGAGGGACGGGATTTCCTCTTCCCCTGCAGGGACTGCTCCCGGGACCGGGTCAGACCCATCTCTGGGAACTGCCCCCTGCTGCAGGTAGCTCCACGGCTGCTGGCTGTGAGCCCAGCCCTGAAGGCAGCGCCACCCCAGCATTAGCGCACAAGTAAGGGTGGCAACACCCTGACCCCCCTGTGGCCCCCCTTTTGGGTGGGGGCCCCCGGTTATAACACTGTGAAGTTTCAGATTTAAATATCTGAAACTGTGAAATGTACGATTTTTTAAAAACCTATGACTGTGAAATTGACCAAAATGGACTGAGAGTTTGGTAGGGCCCTACCCATACTTTAGGGGACACAGAGCAGCAGGATGTGGCATATTTTCAATGAGACATGACCATAGCCAAGGTCTTGACAACTCATGATCACTAGAGACCTTATGGCATTTTTCACAAGAGCAGGGGTCATAGGCCATGATGTCTTGCCAGATTCCACTTAAATAACATTTGACCTCCTTAACACGCCATTTGGTTTCAGTTGGGTGCAGTATTTGTCATCGACTGCATAGGGTTGCTATAGGCTATAAAAAAGCTGTTAACTTCCACTCCATGTGTGTACGCTTCAGTGTCAGGGGAAGCATTCCTGGGCTGAAACCCAGATCCCATTGAAGTCAATAGCAGAATTCTCATTGAATTGAATTGGGGAGGATTTCATCCCTGATGTATTGGTTTTTGTTTGAAAAGCACTTTGGGATGAGAGGTACCATGTAAATGTAAAATTATTCCTAGTATAACTACTGGAAAACTTCACTCAAACTGCAGCTCTAGGGATGGTGAGGAATGGTTTAGGGTGTAGGGCACTAAAAGGTATGTCTACACTGCAAAAAAACAAAAACGAAAGTATGTTCTTAACTCCAGTTGGCTAACCTGCGTTAGCTTACTGGGGTTAAATAGCAGTGAAGACTCGGTAACTTGTCTTTTAACTTGGGTTAGCAGCTAGAGGTAAAGGCTATAGGGGACCGTAGGGTTGAACTCAAACTGCTAACCTAAGTTGCCATGTCTTCAGGGCTATTTTAACTCAAATTAAGAAAACCCTTTTTTTTTGTGTAGACCTACCCTAAGAGTTAGGATTAAATGGAGAAAAGGGAAAAAGTAGGGTGAATATAATGGAAAACTTCCTGACTCTGGGATTTATTAGGGCCTGATCCCACCACAGTTCTCGTTCTCTCTCTCTCTCTCTCTCTCTCAAATAATTCTTTAATGTGTTTCATAGAAGTCTGCAGCACTGCTTGTTTGCATAAGGACTGCTCATGTCTAAATGCTTGAAAGCTCAGTCCCGAGTGGAATAGAATGTTAAGGGTAGTGAGGAAACCCACGCCCCATCATTTGAGATGTTGAACACTGTTCTTGACAAAGCCCTGGGAACAATCCAGCGTTAGCTGAGCTAATGGGGTTGAACTAAAAGACTTTATAGGTTTTTCTCTCTCCCCTTCTGATTTGTTAGGGTGGGAAAGGGAAGACTAAGGATTCAAACTTAGCAGATATCTTTCCAGATGGAGCAGGGACTTATTTTGGCTTGAAATACTAACCTGAATTTGTTTTTTTGTCTGTAGCCATGTTGGATGAGGATGAGGAAGACAGAGTGGATGAAATAGCCCTGCGCCAGCTTACAGAAATGGGGTTTCCAGAGAGCCGAGCTGTCAAAGCCCTTCGTTTAAACCAGTGAGTATACGCAGCACCCAGCATACAGGATTGCTAATTACTGAGATAATTGGTGCACATAATTATTTGGATAATAATGCATTTGCTGTAAACCGCCTCTTGGAGCACCTAAACCAAGGCGATACAAAGCACTAGCACAGGGAACAACCCTGCTCAGGGTAGAGGTCCATCCGGGGGCAAAGAGGGTGTCAAGTGAGAGAACCTTACTCTGCTGCTGACTGTGCTGGACTTGTTCTGAGAATAAATGGAGGTCTGTATATTTGGCATCATTCATGAGTATTAAATTCACGCTCTCAATTTAAAAAAAGAAAAGAGAAAAACAGACCCAATCCTTAAACTGCAGAAGAAACGTTTCACACTGACTTCTAAAACCATTTTAAATTATTCATTTCTGTCCCCACATCCAAACAGTGATATCAAGGGCTGTTCTTTTCTTCTTTGGTTATAAAATTACTTGTGTGGTTATGCCAATCCCATCTCTGGATTTTTCCTTTCTCTGCTTTCCCCAGGGCACAAATCGGGGAGTGATATGCTGTTACTATCCCAAGCTTCACCTATGTCAGATACCAAAATGACATGACACAGCAGATTATGCAGAGGTTCAAAATATGATCACAGTGATCTTCTTGAGTTTGGCGTCTTTTCAGTGGAGTTCAAATGCTCATAGGCGCTGCTTGGTGGGGCTCAGATGCTCTTTTGGGCTCCAAGGATAAGTGTGGGGGAAAGAAGGGGTGATGCTCACCCAAGCAGCATCCAGTCCTCGTACCAAAATGAGCTGTCACTCATGATAAATTGTGTACATGTGATGTGCTTGTTCCTCTCCTTATTTTCATGCTTTGATTGACAGTGAAACAGTTCCCAATGTTGACATTTTCAATGATAGTCACTGGGTATCTGAATTAACACTCCAGAGAGATGAACAGGGGCAGTTCACCTCTCTAGACTATGGTTTCAGGTTCCGTGGAAACTTGGGCAGACATCACATTGTTAATTCACCCAAAAATTGCAAAGTGAGAGTTTCTTCTGACTTGTAAGGGGAAGAGTGACTTTCTATGTTGAAATGAAGCTGAGGTTCTGGAGAGCAGGCGATGCCCTCAAAAGCCTGTTTAAAAATGCTAGATTGCTAGTTCAGCTCATCTTGAACCTTGGCTTTCCTCTATCTCCACCTCTCCTCTCTTTTCACTATTAGCTCAGGAGAAATCAGTTTGTGGTGTCTGTGGTATTTCAGGAACATCAAGTCTGAGATGTTGCACCAAAGTTATTTTATAACCAAGCACAAAGAAAGCTTAAAGGAAGCAAATTTGTATTTCGTGACCTCTGATACAAACTAGCTAGTGATGATGAAAGTCCTAGGAACAAAAGCCAAACCTGTGTGAGGTGATGATTTACTCACTGACGTCTGTCTACCCTGCAGCTGGGAGTAAGCCTCCCAGACTCCATCGGCTTGAGCGTAGACGTTGCAGCTCGGGCTCTCAAGCCCAACTGATCCCCTGATCTGAGCTCAGGTGGCTAGCCAGTGTCTCTGCTGGAGCCACAGTGTCAACACCGATGAAGTGAGCTGTAGCTCACGAAAGCTCATGCTCAAATAAATTGGTTAGTCTCTAAGGTGCCACAAGTCCTCCTTTTCTTTTTACTGTTAAGCTAGTGGGAGTCTGTCTAGCTTGGCTCAGAGGCTCGCTCTGAGCTGCAGAGTAGAACATACCTGTTGAGCTTTGATGACTCCCCATAATCGTTTCCATTAACTTTGTGTCTCAGTATGTCAGTGACGCAAGCAATGGAGTGGTTGATAGAACACGCAGATGACCCCACGGTTGACGCACCGCTTCCAGGTCAAACCTCATTAGAAGCTGTCTCTGAAGTGGGTGCTTCCTCTGCTGGAGCAATTGCTGGTCCTAGTTTGGAAGCTGGTGGGGAAGAGCCCAAGGATGAGCTGACGGAAATATTCAAGAAGATCCGCAGGAAAAGAGAATTTCGTCCGGACCCACGAGTATGTCTTGTCTGTCTTTTACTCTTTACACAACAAATGTAATATGAAGGAAACCACGGGGACACAGTGGGCTCCAAATAACGATGTTTGCTAACTATATGCAACATGTAAGGTCTGGATACCTAAATACACTGCTGCTCCGGGAGGGTTCTGGAGGCTTTTAAACACAGAAGATGTTGAGGACCATTAGAGGACTCTTAAAATATTTAAGAGTACCACCCAGTACCTACATGCTACAGTCTCTAATGCAGGTGCATCTAAATTACCAGTGTTGTTAGGTCTGCCCTAGTGTTGGGGCTAATCTCTTGACGTAGCCTTTTGTAATCATGACTTGCTTCCACCACTAAAGCCAGTGGAAATAATGCAGTTGTGTGTATTGGTGAAGAAGCACCATAGGGTATTAATTATGGTGCCCTGAGGACTCTTACCATAGAAGGGTACAAAAGAGCATTTAAACTGAATCTTGAAGAGTTTGCAGAAGTGACAGTGAAGCATCTTTTCAAGCTGTTTATCTGAACAGTTATAAATACCTTGCATAGAAAATGTATCCCTGTTCAGAACAACCAGAAGGTGCTGTTTAGAATTCAAGATAGATCTGCTTTTACCACTGAAGATTTCCTGAGACTTTGACAAGATTCATCAACAACTTAATAGCTAATATTAAGACATGAGTAAAATTACTTAGGTCTGAAAAAGACCTTTTAAAATATTCAGATACACAGTTCTAAATATTTAGTGCGCACCAGGACTAAATCTAATTACTAGAACTTGCAAATGCACATGACAGCATGTGTGTTATTGCCAGAAAACCACAAGCCTTGGATAGGGAGTATAAAGTACAAGTTTTAAAATCCTGTCTCCCATCCCCAGCATTCCAGTTATCTGGCTCCATACCAGATCATGGCTGTGTTCTCATAACTTGCATGGCTGCATTTCCAAACACTAAATTCCACTCTGTTGCACCAGTGGAAATTTCAGAGGAACTTCAGTGAACTCCTAGATTCACACCAGTGTAGTTAAGAACAGAATTTGGCTTACAAACTCTACTTTCTGCTTCCCTTTAAAAAATCTGCAGTTGTTCCCTTGGGTCTTGCCTCCTCTCTAATATTTCACAACACATTTCAGATTCTGCTTGCTCATTTCTTACCTTTTTCATTCTGCTGTTTAGTCGTCTAATCTAAATCATGAGTATTACAGGCAGTTAACCTTCTTAAAAAGACCAAGCTGAATACACTTGTCTTGCCAATCTATATTTCAACTGTGCCTACCGTTTAATGTCCTAATCACTAAATAACCTGGATCCAATTTGTTTGTTTGTAAATTGTTTTCTTTCTGTGCCATGAGGAAGGTCACCTGTACATGAAATCTCAATTTGCCTACATTGCAATGAAATAACGTAGTGATGGAAAGTGGACTAGTTCCAGATCAATGTTTAGGAATCATTATTTGTGTAGCACCATAACATCTGGAGTATTTGGCCTTGTAAGAACAGTTAATAAAGGAAGCCCCTTAACCACAGGAGTGAAATCCTGGCACCACTGAAGTTAATGGGAGTTTTTCCCTGTGTGGAGCCAGGTTTCTATCCTTAGGATAGAATCCTGGGTTCCTTTTGCCTAGGGCAGACTAGATGGTGGCTGGGTTTCCTAAGATAGCTGTTCCCAATAGATGTAAGTACATTTCTACTTTTTGAGTTGCATACAAATAGGAAACAGGAATAAAACTATCCCATCTCTAGATACAGAAATGGAAACCAAAATATCTGAAGAGGAGTACGATGGGATATTAGAAATGACTGATGCAAACAGCAGCCTTCCTTGTCCTTATTCCAAGGAGTGTGTTGAACCTGAAGGAAACCGTGGGCTACAACCAAATGCTGCTTAGTTACGCAGCTGGAACCCTCACTGAAATCAACCTGGTTTGACCCTGTGTAACTGAGAGCAAAATCTACCCCTACAAATGCATAGTGGTAAAGGGGGAATGGAAGTAAGTTGATTCAAAGCAAGTAACTTCTGTCCTTCAGTACAAAACAAGTTACTTTCAAATGTGGATGTGAGACTTAAAGCAAACTGTCCCATTTGACATGTGGTTTAGACTTTAACCTACTTCTTAAGAGACTCTCTATCCTGGCTTCTGACCCATCACAACCCTCTCCTAAATGTCACATTGCCCAATCTAAAATTAGTGCCACAGCCTGCAAATGGCACATGTACTGTAATTGAACACCTAACGCTCATTTAAAAAGAAGGCATTCTGATATGAACACATCCTGATACAAGCAGCTAAGGTGTATGACCAGAGAAGAGTAAGAAAAGGAAAAGAACTAGTTCTTCCAGTGCTTGTTTGATGTGTAGGAGCTAGGTATGGAGAAGTTCACCTCTTGCATGCTGGGGGCTGCATTTCCTTATATATAATTTTACATTGGTGCTGCTGTGTTTGCCCAGATGTTCCGTGTAAGTAGTAGGTGCAGGGTGGAGACTGCCAGATTACCAGCAAAAAGAGAGGCTTCTGGTGAGAGTAATCTGTTTCCTCTCTGAGTCCCAAGGATATGGACGTGGAACAATATTATAACAAGGGATCATTCAATCATTTCTCTTTCACCTGTGCGTTGGAACAGTGCAGTAATACTTAGTACTCTTAATCTTCAAATAGCTCTGCAAACATTTTTCCTCACAGTGTGCTAGTGAGATAGGTAAGTCTGAGCGCTCTGACTGATGAGCGGGAGGGAAGACAGAGGCAATGGAGATGAGTGAATTGCTCATGGTCGCAGAAGGAATGTGTGTTAGATATGGGAGTTCCTACTTCCCATCCTATCCTGCTTTTTTAGAGCCAAGTCCTGCTCCTTATTTTAATAGAAGCAGGATTTGGCTGCTGCTATTTTATTATTCCTTGTATTACAGTACTGTCTAAGGACTCAGTCATAGATCAGGGCCTGGTTGTGCCATTGCATTGGAAACAAGCTACTTGTAGCCTGTTGGTAGACCTTTAAAATCTCTTGAATCTCTGCTAGCCAACAGTTTGCACCCAATAAAAGCCTTTTAGAAAAAAAAATAGTCGAAAGGGAATATATTCTGCTATATTCTCCTCTCAGTTACACAGAAAATCCCATTGGCTCCTCTAGTGAGGAGAATCTGACTTAATAAAGCCTGTCAGGATTCTTAAAACCGGGACCATCGCCTTCTGCTCCTTTGCTGTATGTGGAGAAGGAAAAGCTTTTCTCCAGAAGAAGGGATAAGATTCATTCCTTGTGTGTGTTGTAGCTGCCATGGACCAAGCTAAATGCTGTGTGTAATAAGCTGTGTGTTTCTGATTTAGGCTGTCATTGCCTTGATGGAGATGGGCTTTGATGAAAAAGAAGTGATAGATGCACTAAGAGTAAACAACAACCAGCAAAACGCAGCTGTGAGTATCCTCTGTTGTTTTATTCCTAATTGCTATGATGATCATTTGCTCAATTGAGAATTCTTGATCGCTGAACTGGATGGCGCTTGGTCATATTTTTAATTCAAACTAGCCTCATGTTACATGGTCTTGCTCTTTGTATTCCAGCCCTAGCAGTTATTGGAGTTGAAACAAACATGATTAAATATTGTGCATCTTTGAAACTAGCTACGTACACCACTGGAAAGCAGTCACTTCTGGGCTGGAGAGTGGCAGTCAACCAGCATCCTGCACAATGTTGAGAGAACTACTTGCAGAGTGGAAATGTTGAGATGGAGAACTTTGGCCAGGGACATGAAATTGGTTTTTGAGGTTCTCTTCTGAAGGACCACACACGCATGCATACAGAGGAATGCTCATTTTATCCTCTCCTGAAGGAAAAAGGGCTGAGCTGACCTTGTTGGGATTTTGAGATGTGCTTCTGGCACTTAGATCAGTGAGCCTGCCCTCCAGCTTTGGATTCAGGAATCCTGGCCAGTTCTTGGGTAGGAGGAGGACAGTCCTGGAGCAAGCTGTAGATTTCCAGTGTGATATATAGAATGTCACCTCATGTGGGTTTGAAAGCTAGAAATCACTTTTATTGCTGTATCAGGCTCTAGTCCAGCTCCCGCTGGAGTAATGGGAGCCTTGCAGTTGACCTAGAGCAGGACTTAAGTGAATAGTAGTTAATGTATTACATGGTTTAGTCTTCAAATTGCATGCAGGGATGATAAACTTTGTCTAGGATGTTCTATCTTGTGCCTTACTTACATGCGGGATTGAAGTCTCATGAGCTTGCGTTTTAATGGAACTAATTATAAACTTGTCATGCCTGGTGACTTTTACAGTGTGAATGGCTGCTGGGAGACAGACAGCCATCTCCAGAGGATTTGGATAAGGGAATTGACACCACTAGCCCTCTCTTCCAAGCCATCCTGGAAAACCCAGTGGTACAGTTAGGGCTAACGAACCCTAAAACGCTGTTAGGTAAGTACTGTCCTGGCTTCTGACAAAGAAGCCTTGCCTGCACAGTTGCTGACTATCAGAAAATACTCTGAGTAAAGCTAAGGGAATAAACGGGGAGGGGGCAGCCTGACGGCTTGCTTTGTAGTGCTGCGTATGATGCCATGTGGGCAGCAGGGGCTTGGAACAATCATGGGGCCGTCACAGATATGACACTGAATCTCCAGGGCAATGGTTTCAACCTGCAACCATCTAGAACGTCATGGCTACTGGCTAGAGTATCCGTGTGGATCTAGGAGACTTGTTGCACTCAACTTGGCCAGAGTTTGGCAGGGAAAATGTAGATCTCTGCTTGGTATCCTGGGGTCCTTAGCTGCAAAAAAAGTGTGGAAGAGAATGCATGCTGTAGTACAGCTCACTATTGATTGAAGTCTGCTTATTACTCAGAGGGCAGTGATTGGCTGAGTTTAACTGAACTGAAAGCTGCCAGCTAAGGACTTCTGTGTGTGTCCTGCCAAGGCTGAAATAACAGCTATGGACACATGCTTCACCCTTTTTGGAGGTTTGCCCTGTAGAGCATCTGTGTTTTCTCAGTCAAAAAGCATCTGTGGCTGGGAAAGCCGCATCACTAATGAGTCCAAAAAAGACTGAAATGTAAATCTGTGGTTGATGGGTCACTCTGAGGAAACTGTGCACAGGGAGATATTTAGTAGGGAGAAATTTGGCGTTTCTGCAATATATAAACGTGCTTAATCTTTGGCCTCAGTGGTTAAAGGCATGTTTTAAAACATACATTGCATATGAATTCCTTTGCAGTAGATCTTTTGAACACTTACATTTACTGTGAAGTTTTGTGGGTTTTAAATAATGCAGGAGCAGAACCTGCCCACCCTGATTTCTAAACAAGTGGCATCTTCGTTTCAGAGGAAGGTTCCATGCTGCAGCGCAGGATATAAAAATAGAAAATGAAATGTCATTGTACACATGTATAACGCTTGGATGAGCATCAGAGCATGTACTGTTGCTAATGATACCTCGGCTTATTGCCAGTGTCATGCATTTTAACATGAATATTTGCATTGAATTAGAAAATTCCTAGTTATGAAAAAGATGATCAAAAGTCCTTTAGTTCAATATATTTTTAATCTCTCGCTTCTCCCCAAAAGAGGAGGTCTAGTGGTCGAAGCATGAGAGCTATATTTTATTCTCAGTTCTGCCAGAGACCTACTTTGTAACCTTAGCAAAGTATTTATAGTGTGGCATTCAGAGGTGTTGAGTACCTACAGCTCTCGTTGACTTTATTGGGAGTTGTAGGTGCTTATCACCTTTGGAAAATTGGATCATTAACCTCTATGCCAGAGTTTGCCAGACTCTGTTATGTAAATTGTTACACTGACCTTTAGGTGACTTCTGAAAAGGTCAGACTTTGTGTGTGGCCCGTGAGTAAGTTCCAAATGTCCCAAGCATCTGTAAACTGTTGGCTCAAATGTTCTTGTTTCCTGCTGTGTTTGCAACCCAAATCTTGCAGCAATGTACTAGTGCATGAGAACCACACAGTGGCACTGACTTTTCTGTGCATCATCCAAGCTGAGTGAAATGCAAAATAAGTTCAGTCAAAAGTAAATAAGTGGAATAATCTTGGGATAGAGGGGTTATTTGACACAGGTAAAGAGAACTATTTTTAGCCATTTGGGCCTAGATCATCCTTCCTTCCAAAATCTGCAAATGGAGGGGACCCTTCTACCTGCACACACCATGGAAGTTGGGGTCTGCTGTCTCCATGGCATCATGCATGCCCTTGACTCCAGTCCAAGGTGAGAGGGCAGTGATTAGGCTGGTGGAGGAAGGAGCTTGCTGGCTGGTGGGATAATATACATTATTCCCTCTCTAGCCCCAGAGAATTTTTCCAGGAAGGAAGGATTGTCTTGTGGCCAAGGCACTTGAGTGGGAATCGGGAGATTATAGTTCACTTCCTGGCTCTGCCATGGGCGACCTAGGGGCATGCATCTGTGCCTTAGTTTCACCCCCTGTAAAATGGGGATAATGCTTTACCTCACAGGGGTGTTGAGAGAGTAAACTCATTGCTGGAGGCGTTGAGGTACTGTGGTGATGGGCACCATAGGAGTACCTAGGTAGAACATAACACAGCTGGCTTTTGTACTACCTCCTTCTCATCACCCCCAATAGTCACAGCCAGGAGGAGTCGCCGGCAGTGCCGCTCCAATGGAGTTGTGTTGCCAGGGAGCTTGGTGGTGGGGGGAAGGCCTCTGCGTGGGTGGCTCTGGCCTCCCAAGATCTGTCCTGATGGAGTTGTGGTGATCAAAGCAAGTCATGATTCCTACTGCAATTTAAACTAACTTTTTATTTTGTAAAACATCCAAAATACCCAATATTTGCCAAATAAAACATCATGAACTGAGTGTTGCCACCTCCTTTTCTTGGCAGCCTTTGAAGATATGCTTGAAAACCCCTTAAACAGCACTCAGTGGATGAACGATCCAGAGACGGGACCTGTCATGCTACAGATCTCTCGAATCTTTCAGACGCTGAACCGCACGTAGAGGGGAATGCCGATCCACTGTGCCACTTCTTGCTGTCTCTAGCTTCATGTTTCCTGAACAAGAAGGAACATAGATTTTTGGGGGCGGGGGGGGGAATGAAGGGGGGTCTGAGGGAAGAAGGTAGCAGAGGAAGCAAAATAGCTTTTTGTTGTTTGGGTAGGCACCTCTCAAATAAGAGTGTGTGTAGTTATGGCCATCCTGAAGTTAATAGCCTTGTGGATTTAGTGGAAGAGGTTTGAAGACTTGTTCTGGGGGTTTTTTTGCTTTCAGATGGTAGGTTGAAAATGAAATATATATCCAAATACAGGAAAAAGCTTTGTAACACAACTAAGCATCTGATTGACCGAGAAAGTAATATGATGACATTGCCTCATGTTTCTATCTTCTTGCTCAAAAGGCCTATGACAGCAGTTTTACTAGCCAGTGGTTATAGCAGCATCTGGCTAGTGTTTACAAAAGGTCACTGACCACTATCATAGGATAATAATCATACTATTCATCTCTATACAGTGTTAATTTATGTCTATATCAAAATACAAAATACTTTTTAAATTGACACTTAGGAACTTGTTTTTTAAAATAAGTCCAAATGTTGAGAGAACATGTTTTTATCCAGACTTGTCTGTCTTACATTTTAATTTAAACAGAATAATTCATAGATGGAATTTCTTTAATTAATAAATAGCGTTACTTTTTCCTATTTATTTTCTGCGTTAGTGTTGTTCCAATCCTGTGGGCTCATGTGTTTGCAGGAGATTTCACTCAACTAGATTAAAGATGCAGTATCTCCTTTCAGAAAAATGTAATTTGTCATTCCAGCAGTTTGGTTCTCAAGTGCTACAGTTCATAGGTTTGTCCTGTTTTAACATATCTTAGTGTGAAAGGTGACATGTTTCCATGTACTTTTGCATTTCTGAATGTATATTTTAGGAAAGGAGTTCTGTTTTGCAGGCATCTTCCTTTTCTCTGCTTGCAATGCCAAAAGCTACTAACTTGCTTGGTTTTTAATTGAAAGGTCACCTGCACAATGAAACAAGAATCCATACAAAAATATTTAGGTTTGTGTCCTGTTTTTGCTTGCTTGTTGTATAAAACACACTTGAAATGATTGCCCTCTTCCAAATAAGGAATTTTCCCCTGCTTGTACTTTACCTTAGAAATATCAGGAATTTCAAGTCTTGTCTTCCCTTGTCTTTATTGGAAGACTTGCTGGAGGTCTCAGATGTGTATTGTGAGTTTTGTCAGGCTGCTAACTAAAGGAGTACACATGCTGAATCTCGCACATAGATCTCTTCTTCCAACTATTTATGCTGCAGTTGAGTTACACGGGTGGTGATAAAATTTTTAAATAGCTGGACTAAAAATCATTTCCCTTTTCCATCAAGTTTCACTTGCTTGGTGTCTGCAGTGTAATAAACCAATCCTCCGCTAGTCTATACAGTCTGCCATGAAAAACAGGGTAAACAAGACCTGGATTTCTAATGTAAAAAATATGCTGAGAAAATTAAACCTTTTAAGTTTTCATTAGCCACCATAAAGGTGTGTATATGTTTTGTGAGAGGATATTCTGCATAACTTTGTAGGTCACCTTTTAAAGTGATCTTACTGAGGGCATCTAGATTCAGACCTAAACCACAGAACAAGTTTTGGCCTGATCTTGGCATCTGAACTGTAGTAATATGCAGCTGAGACACAGAAGTTGCCAATTTCACATAATGTGGATGGGTGGGGAAGTCAGTCACTCAGATCTTATCTTTACGTACTATACCAGTTTTATTTTTGGCTTTTGTAATATCATTAACAGTCTATTGCACTTAAACAGATTTCTGTAAGGCACTTAGATTTCCAAATCCAAAAGTAACCATTTTCAGCACCCCTGTTTTTCTTTCAACCCGTTCTTGGCATCCTCAAAACTTAATTGCAGTTTTGGTTTTAAAATCTGAGTCTGATTCTTCAACACAGTAATTACTCAAATTAGTCAAATTTCATTTCATTGCAACTACTCACGTGAGTAAGGGTTATAGATATAATATTGAGAATAATATTTAAGCAAGTTTCCTGATACTGAAGGATTTCAGTTGTTCGTTCGATCAGGCTTTTTGTTTTGCAATGGTTTCCTTGAACTACTACCTGAAGATGTTATTACTTGAAGTTCTAAGCATTTGAGGCACTGATATGTATGATATTCCCTCTTCCATCCAAGTTCTTGTAAATAATCAGTGCTTGTTTCTACAGGACAATATTAGGTAGAACCACCATCATGTGATTATACTGATTTCCTTACTAAACAAGAATTGTTCCAGACTGCGGTTCTGAATGTATTGGACACAAGTTGAGACAGCAGCATGTCCTGTAATAACTTATGGTCTGATCATGTTCCCATTAAGTCGTGCCCAAGCTCCCATTAACTTTCATGCAGTAAGATCAGACACTTTTTTAAAATAATTCATAAACTGATTCCACAAAGAACTAACATTGTTTTTATCTACATATCCTTCATACTTAAGCCTTCTCTTTCAAGGAGCAGAATGGTTCACTTTTAGACTGTAAGTTCTGCTGCTTGTATACCTCTGCATTATCCCCATGGCAATGGACTTGAGTTAGATTGTATGGTTTCATCACTGTCTGTTTCTGAACAGGGTGTATTTGTTTCTATGTCAGGCTTATCTAGGTGACACAAGTACATCAAAACTGCACTTGTTGTCTTGTCGCAACAGGTTCAACGCATCTTTTAAAATAGCTTTCAATAGAATTGCAGTAGAGAAACTGAAATAAATGAAGGCAAGAATGCCTTGTGTATCTGCTTTCCTAATAAAATTAATATGGCAACTATGATATAAGAAACCTTGTGATTAAAGGAATACTGCATCTTTAAAAAACTAAAAAGTTTGAGGATATGCAGTTTTAGACTCTATTATTTCAGAGCTTTACTCCTGTACAGTGTAAGTGTAGAAGGAGAGAGGCTGGTTATCATTATAAAGTGTCCTCCAGCCTTGGTTTTTTCATATGGCTTTTTATTTTTAAATGCTGCTTGACTTTTGAAAACACAAGTTTCCAGTGGCCAATATCTGGGATTAGTGGAAGGTTATATGGATTTAATGTTTTTCAGCAAGACTTGGGCATGAATAAAGATGTACTTAACTATGTCAATTCAAATGTAACTTAGAATGCCACTTAAGGAATCAGTTGATTCAGCTCATTAGTATGAATGTCTGACACTAATACATGCTGTGTGCTGCCAGCGCCTCGGGAGCTAGAAGTCCAGTGGCACGTCCTGTGAGCTGGATGGGTTGCTACTCCAAGGTTACTATTGCTTTTTAAGTCCATTGTGGTTGCAGTTGTGGCAATTCTCCTGTGCTTTCTAGAATTCTGAAAGCATAAAGATCCCTACATGGGCAATGAGGCTGGGATTCAGCATTTGAAGGGGCTGGTTCCAGGCAGTGTCATGATGAAAGGATTGTGGGTTCAAACCTGCAAAACCACAAGAATCTTGGGAGTAGACGTTTTTTAAAAATCAATGGGATTACGTGTGTGAGTAAGTAGTAGTTGCGTGAGTAAGGATTTGCAGGTTTGAGCCATGTGCTTGCATGTCTGAAGTCTCGATTAAAGTTAGCAAAGAGATTAGCAGTGGTGCTGGCTTCATTGTAAAGTGTCTTATTGCATCATCGGAACTAGGTCAAGGGAAAAAGTGGAAGATAGATAAAACCAAGGAAAAATGAGGAAATGGGCCAGGTAGGTGGATTATCTGCTGCAATATTGACTGCTTATAATTGTTCTTATGCTTGGTCTATACTTGCCCCATCAGTTGACATAGACAATCTCTTACCTTTTGATATGTGTGACTCTTAAAAGCTAGCTAGCTATTTATTTAAATATATATATGTGTAACTTATAATTTTGTCATCACAAAGCTTTGATATTTTTAATAGAAATGTTCTATATAGAAGTTTGTTCTCAGGGCTTCATATTTATACTATAGGGCAATGCATTTAAAGGGATGTATTTGGGGTGTGGGGGGGAAGCTAGTTGCCACTTTGCAACTTAAATGTTGGTTAGTCTAGACCTGTGAGACCGAGCTAGCATGAGACTCCTCTGAGCCACTGTAATAGACAAGTCCAAAGAATCCACCGTTGTTTCCTCTTCCATCTCTTGAGGATGGTGGAAATGGTCACACAAGAATACACAGCAGCTTTGCACATCGTTGTCCTTTACACAGTTCCAAGGACACTTCTGCTTTGTGTGTATTGATGGAAGTGGAAAGCTAATTCACGCAGTTTCTAGTGCAGTGGTCAATACACCTGCACTCTGCTAGGAGTCCAAGAACGCATGGCTGCAAGAGCTCTTAGGTTTCCAGACCATCTCCCCACATTTGGCTACTTGCAGTCTGTCACAGTTGTTCCCCAGAACCTTTTACCCCATTTTGCCTGGAGCCAAACTTGACTTCTAGAGGTGGCTCTTGGTATCTGAGAAATGGTTGTGTTTATTCAAATGCTTTTTAGTTGGAGCAAGTTGCAGTCTTCTGGCATCATGATCCATGGGCTGAGAATCTTTGAATTACTGCATTGGAAGCAACTGTGCAAATGGACACAACACCAAATGATGATTGTATTCTATCACTGTGTCAGTATATCTTGTCTATTGAGCAGGCACACAAGTTGTTCCCAGTAGTCTGAGGTTCAAAAGCACTATTTACAAGATAGAGTGTTATCCAAAGGAAATACCTCATTTTTCTGCTAATTAGAGTGGCATTTTTTATCAGTTATTAATCTTTACTCCTAGGACTTTATAAAGAGCTGATGGAATAACTGCATCCACAGCTGGCCATTTACATCCACAGATATGTTGGATAAGATAATTTAAAAGGGATATAAATCCTCATGCTTCAGGGTGTAACCCAACCACTAAATGCATCTTCACTTATGGGCAGATTATTCCTCTGAAGCATTTGGTGCTGGCCATTGTTAGACTAGTTAGCAGACTAGCTTAGCCACTAGTCTGAGTCAGGATGGCAAATCCTATGAAAGAAAAGCAAGCAGTGCATATTACGTTTACATGAACATGGTTTAAAAAGTCCTGTTCACTTGCATCCCAACCTTTCGTCATTACAGACGGTATGTATTTAACATGTGGTGAACCTTTTGCTCTAGGCTTAAAGAACTTACATGCAGATCCCTGTTTGAAGCATACAAACTTTAATAAATGTGAAAGCATTAAATTCTTATTGAATTTGGTTATAGTTTTTTTATATCATGTTCTGGACCGGGGAAAAATTGTGCTAACATTTTAAACTAAAAACCTACCAAATGAAATGTGTGTTGTCTTGTTGCAGCAGGTAGGAAAGGCGTGTAGACCTTTTTTAATTTGCAAGTTTATTTTTATTATAGTTTAATGAACTGTACAAGAATGTGATTTGCCATACAGCACTGACCACAAAGTAGCACTAGTGAAGTTATACTGTAAGGTACTATGACTTTTCATTTCATCGGTGTATAGAATGGGTACAGTACATAGTTTTTATATGGAATTGACACTGATATGTGGCATGCACAGTTGTTTTTAAGATGTAATGTTACTTTTATGAAGTTTAACTTGGGTCAACATCAACAAACCTATAGAATTCAGGGTTCATTCTAAAACTTACTAGCATGGGTCAGTGATCTGCTACACATCTGCAGAAAGATTCAGCAACGACTAGTGCTAATACTAAACATTTGTCACCCATTTTTGCTTTAATATGATTGTCTGGCCAAAATAAAATCAATTCTGCATTGTTACTAATCTGATCCCTTTTAAACAGTCAGGCTGTTATCTGCAGAAATGTATTCTGAGAGACTATCACGAGTGTTTGGTTCATGTGGCTTTGCTGGTAACTATTACCTACGTTAGTATGGCTAAGTTGGACCCATGAGCGTGATTAGAATGAACGCTGAGTCTTTTAAACCTACACACGCGCACTCTGAGAATGATCTGGTAATGTGTGTTGTACATTTATAACATCAAATAATAAAGTTTTTTGATTTATTACGAGCTGTTTCTAAACCTTTTGAAAAGTGTCATTGGGCTGACAAATCCAGGTTACTGACCAGTCTGTATCGGAAGGATTCATAGAATCATAGAATATAAGGGTTGGAAGGGACCCCAGAAGGTCATCTAGTCCAACCCCCTGCTCGAAGCAGGACCAAATCCCAGTTAAATCATCCCAGCCAGGGCTTTGTCAAGCCTGACCTTAAAAACCTCTAAGGAAGGAGATTCTACCACCTCCCTAGGTAACGCATTCCAGTGTTTCACCACCCTCTTAGTGAAAAAGTTTTTCCTAATATCCAATCTAAACCTCCCCCACTGCAACTTGAGACCATTACTCCTCGTTCTGTCATCTGCTACCATTGAGAACAGTCTAGAGCCATCCTCTTTGGAACCCCCTTTCAGGTAGTTGAAAGCAGCTATCAAATCCCCCTCATTCTTCTCTTCTGCAGGCTAAACAATCCCAGCTCCCTCAGCCTCTCCTCATAAGTCATGTGTTCCAGACCCCTAATCATTTTTGTTGCCCTTCGCTGGACTCTCTCCAATTTATCCACATCCTTCTTGTAGTGTGGGGCCCAAAACTGGACACAGTACTCCAGATGAGGCCTCACCAATGTCGAATAGAGGGGAACGATCACGTCCCTCGATCTGCTCGCTATGCCCCTACTTATACATCCCAAAATGCCATTGGCCTTCTTGGCAACAAGGGCACACTGCTGACTCATATCCAGCTTCTCGTCCACTGTCACCCCTAGGTCCTTTTCCGCAGAACTGCTGCCTAGCCATTCGGTCCCTAGTCTGTAGCTGTGTGTGATTCTAGAACTGTGTGCCTATTGGTAAGCTTCAGAGTAGCAGCCATGTTAGTCTGTATTTGCAAAAAGAAAAGGAGTACTTGTGGCACCTTAGAGACAAATTTATTTGAGCATAAGCTTTTGTGAGCTACAGCTGATGAAGTGAGCTGTAGCTCATGAAAGCTTATGCTCAAATAAATTTGTTAGTCTCTAAGGCGCTATTGGTAAGCGATTCATTAACAGACTGTCTTTTACTGACCAGCTTTACTGGTGAGCAAACCTGGAACAAAGAGTGAGCAGCACAGTCTGATTCCAATAATCATTTCTGCATCTGGGAAATATTCCTCTTCCTTCCTATCAACTTGGCTCCTTCAGGGTGAAATTCACCCTAAGGGCTTAAATGGAGCATAGACCTTGTGCTGGCCTTCTGCATAGTGGTGAATGTTTGCTTACCAGGGATTATCCTGAATCTTAGTTGATATGTTGAGCTGAAAAAAGTCATATCCAGCATGCGCTGCACTCTCGCAACAGACTGACTGGAAAATTCTGGGCTAGAAAGAAATGGAGCTAAAGTAAATAGGGGTAGTGCGGAAGCAAGGTGGGATGCATGAGTACGATCGTTTGCATATGAGTTACCTAAAATGCTGCTCCTACTCACGTTCCAGTACTACTGTGGCTATTTGGGAACATCCTTGAAGACTTTCTCCCTAAGTTTGCCTGTGTGTGGTTGCCTTGGAGGCTGCTGAGCATGAAACGTAGCTGTGTCAGATGGTTACTCTGGAGAGCATCTGGGATTTATTAAAACTTTAACAAAATGTATAGAGGAGAGAAGAGCCTCTTCAAAGAAGAATTGGACACTGTGCAGCGTGTAATAAAGAGCCTGCCATAACCCTGACTACATCCTTTGCAGAAAGGAGATGACTTGGCTCCCAATTCCTATCAGGTATTCCTTCAGAATTCTTCCTCTCCTCTGCCTATGCCATGTGGCACAGTACAGGTTAGATAGTTTGAGGTGGCTCCAGAGAGCAACTGATTGGGATTTTGGAAAGGTTTCCATTAGGAAGTTTACAAATATCCTAGATCAGCTGGACTCAAGAGAGTAACCTTGAGTAATTGTCTTGAGTTTGCAGATGACAAAAAAATGGGGGAGGGGTAAATAAGGAAGAGGTCACTGGTTCAGAGCATCCCTGATCACTTGGTAAACTGGGCACAAGCGAACAATGTGTTTTAATACAACGTAAGTAAATGTATACTAGGAACAAAGAATGTAGACCATACTTACAGAATGGGGAACTCTATCCTGGGAAGCAGTGGCTCTGAAAAAGATTTGGTGCAGGGTATGATGGATAATCAGCTGAACATGAGCTCTGTGTGATTCTGTGGCCAAAAGAACTAATGCGATCTTGGGATGCATAAACAGGAGACTCTCGAGTAGGAGTTAGGGAGGTTTTTACCTCAGTCTTTGGCATTGGTGTGACCATGGCTGGAGTACTGTGTCCGGTTCTAGTGTCCACAATTCAAGAAGAATGTTGATTTTAAATTGGAGAGAGTTCAGGGAAGAACCACAAGAATGATTAGTAGATTAGAAAAGATGCCTTCTAGTGATAAACTTAGAGTTCAGTCAATCTGATTAACAAAGAGAAGGTTCAGGGATGACTTGATTAGTCTGTAAGTACCTACATGGGGAACAAATATTTTATAATGGACTCTTAGAGCATGATCCAACGGCTGGAAGTTGAACCTAGACAAATTCAGACTGGAAATAAGGTGTACACTTTTAAAAGTGAGGGTAATTAACCACTGGAAAATTTACTGAAGGTCATGGTAGATTCTGCATTGCTGACAATTTTTAAAACGAGATAGGATGTTTTTTTAAGTAATCTGTTCTAGGAATTATTTTGGAGAAGTTCTCTGGCCTCTGTTAGAAAGGAGGTCAGACCAGGTGATCACAGTGATCCCTTTCTGGCCTTGGAATCGATGAACCTCCAGTTCTTCAATAGTCAGTTCTTTAAAAGTCTTCAATCATGGTTTGACTGCTGCACATAATTAGGTAGTAGCACTTCAAACTGAATCTAAATGGGCACAGCAGGGTTTCTCACATGTAGCGGCTGGCATCTCAATAACCAAAGTTTAGACATTGACTCAGTCTGTGTTCAGAAATCACTTAAGTGCTGAAAATGGCTAAGTGCGATTATTACTAATGTTGTTCTTCAGCAGTGCTGACCAGAAGTGATCCTCTATTCTGGTCTCAAAGTTGCAGTGCGTTGCCTTGACTGAGACCTTGTGGTCAAAACCTGTGTTCTGCCCTGAAAAAGGATGGGAAAGGTAAGTGCTCAAAGCATGGCATGCAATCTGAGCCTAGTCCTTATCTCAGGCCTTATGGACAGCAGCAAAATTTAGACACTAACCAGCCTTCACCCTAGGTTGGCTCATCCTTGGGTTACTTCCTGCAAGCCCTTTTTGCCCTTGCCTCTCCAACTTGTCTGTCTCTCTGAAGGGGGAAGAGAATGCTCCCCCACCTTCTTTACCCTGGATTGGAGCTAATGAGTAGAGATGCTCTAAAAATAAGGGGTAGAATCCAGTGTAAAATTGTTTGACCAGCTCAACTAATGTATGCCGTCTGGACTGGGTTCAAGGATAGAGCAGAATGAGTCAGCAGATGCTGTCCCTGTGAGGTCCTAAAATCTGGAAGTCCATCATAAACAGATCATGGATATAGTCCCCTCGAGAGCATGTATCCATCTAATATCTCATAGTACGTTTGATCTTACTGTTAAATACAGTAAACTTGTGATAAGGAACATCCAGAGTACTGGAAAGAGTCAGCCAGTAGAAAACTGCTCTGAGATGAGGGTACTTCAGTGGTTGTCTAAGATGGGATTGCAATATTTGGGGTGGGGAAGGAGGATGGGTTCTCTTGGGGCAGAATAAATGGTATTAACTCCTCTCCTCCCACCCCCCAGCCAAAAATTCCTAACTCCAAGTAAAACTTTGATATGTGTGTTTGAACCTAGCCATAGCTCAAATGTCTTTAGCCTGGAAGTTGACTTTCAGCTGGAAAACATCTCCAAAGTGAATGTGGAAGCACTGGCGGAAGACCTACCACGTAAGTGCAGTGAGACCTGAGAATAGCCTCCTGTTGGCCAAACCCTTGTGTATCTAGTATCACTAACAATCCTGTGCCATTTTATATAAGCAGGCCAGAAGCAATGTGTCCTTTTGAGATGTAAAGGACTAGACCGTACTCTATCAGAATATGAGTGGACGGTGTGGCTAATGTTTTCAAACATGAGTGTTTAAACTTTGATGCCTAAACAGGGACCTGCATTAAATAAGTGGCCTAATTTTCAAAGGTGCTGTGAACCCTTAGCTCCCCCGGAGATCACTGAGGGCTGTGGGTGCTCAGCTCTGGAAAATGTGGCTGCTTATTTTAATGCCTCATTATGAAACAGGGTCCTTAACTTCAGGCAGTTGAGTTTTGCAATCATTGGCCTGTGATTCTGTGCAGCCTGGATTAGGCCCTGGTCATGCGCATTGTTAAAAAGGTACAGAATTAACCAGATTACTTATTCAATTGTCTCTCTAGCATTGCTGTGATTAACCAGTTCTCTAACCTGTTTCATTAGACCTCGCTGAATATTCTGAAGATGACACCAGTGATTGCACAAAGGGCTCTCTCTCATTTAGTCTGGAAAAGTCATGTACATCAAGCTGGGAGCTTGCTTAACTGGTTGAACTTCTGATCACTTGCCAGCATGTGTGCACTGATGAAACCAACTTATGCCCAGATCATACTTAAGATTTATTCTCAGCAAATGCTATTTAAATTCCATTAAATGTATGTATTTAGCTGTAAATGTCTGCTGTAAATATCCAAGTGCAGCTGCTGGTGCACTCCTAAAGAAAGTGGTTTAATCAAAGATTTCCTTCCGTTATGTCAGAGCTGATCGACAAAATCCATGGAGCTATGGCTGAACTCCTGATTTTAAAAATGCACAGTAAGAGTGAAGCACTTGTCCCTTCCCCCGAGAGTGTTTTGGGTTTAAGTCTTGTATACCCCTCTTCATCACTCCCCTCCCCCCCCCCACACACACACAGAGCTTTTTATAGTGAATTATTTATTCTGGTGCTTTTTGACATCCATCCATACTGTTGCCAGAAGAATAGTACCATTTCTAAAAAGGCTATTTGAAGTAATTGACTGACCTGAAT